AATCCACAGCCCCTAAACTAACAACCCCACCAGACGCTCAACCTCCAAGTCACTGGTGTGGTGTAGGCGGTCGACGCCCCAGAGGCCGCCTGCAGCGCCGGTGCGAGAGATCGAGGAAGCTGAAAGAAGGTTCGAATGTGCCAAACCTTCCACGACCGTACAAATGGTTGACCTGGGTGATTGTGACTCTACAATGCCGAGTCGAACCATTGGTGGGTCAGGAATCCTCAGGATTCCAATTCTTGACGACACCATTCTCGACGGTTTACTGCATGGAGTGCGGGCATTCGTCATGGCATTCTGTACTCGTTCGGAGCGATGCCTGATATCGAAGGGATGAAATGCTCGCAGCTGGCTTCACCTTTCACAGCGAGGGAGGTCGGCAAACGTCAGCAGCGAGTGAACTGGGCGCAAACAGTTCACAACCAAGGCAAATGGTCACTTCCAAGACACCAACACACACTTGAAACATCTTGAAACGAATGTGCATTAGTTGACATCTTTTTGTAACGTTTTGCGCATCTGACAATTTCCATTCGTCGTTCGCTTCACAACGTTGCTCCCAATGCAGTGCACACTCACTGTGAAAAACCAGCTAAAGACATCGATCTATATAAAGACACCCAAAGCATCCCAAAGCAGCACACATCGTTTGGCACCGACCTTGAGGCACCACCCTGGCAGGACAGCACGCACGCCCGGCCCAGGTAGGTGGTCCACCACCGCCCCTCCTCGCCCTCGGCTTCGCCTGTGCAGGAGCTTGTGCCTGTAAGGTGTTTGGGATTGGAATCATGCCACAGGCACGAGGAGTCATCGTTGGAGTTGGAACCTAGGCAATGCCACAAACGCGGCCAGCCGCTGGGGAGCAGCTGTCGGTTGCGGTTAATTGGTTGCCAGGTGGGGTGGTGAAACTCTGCATCCCAAGTGACACTCGGATAGCCAGTCCCTGGAGTGCCAAACGGGCTCCCCGCTGGCGATGTGATGCCTCGGTGACGAAAGGAGAAAGGCAACGTCACCCTGCAAAAGCCTCTCTCAAGGGCTTGGAGGATGCCTGCTTTTCTGCATAAACATGGATCCGTCAATTGTGTAGGTATGATGGCTCAAGAGAAAAAAAACCTGAACTCTATTATATCGAACTGAATTACAGCATTTTGACCATTATTTGACCCATCTCAGTTCTCTAAATATGCACTACATATGCACTACACGGTGACAAGAACGCTTGAAGCTGCCCTCCCCACCTCCCCCCCCCGCCCGTTCGATAACTCGTTCGAGATGCTTGCCCGAGGCAGAGTCGTGGCGCTGCTGGCGCGATGCACCTCCGAGGTCGGTCCGGTCCCGGGAATCGACGGGTCGGTGCCAGGACTAATATATACCTGGAACCTGAATGACCTCTATTTTGGACCACCAACCACCCGAAATATTGCCTTTTCCTATCAAAACAGGGGTCAATTGGGTTCTAGGTATATATATATATATAATTCCTTCATAATGCGGTTGGACTGATTTACAAAACGGAGTGATAATTATCACTATTCAGGGGTACGGATCCATTTGGATCCTGGTTGGTTGTACACTTCAGGGTACTCCCTCCTGTTAATCAACCAACCAAATTCAACATATTATCTATGATCTGAAATGCCCACGATGGGTGGTCGTCGACCGCCAGGTGCGCCAGGCCAGGCTTCGGCGTTCCGACCCGGCCGGAGCACGGCGGTCCGAACCTTTCGGGGGGGCGCGCGCTGATGCGCATGGCGGGCATATGCCGCGCACGGTCCCAAAAAGACTGACAGATCCAAACAGTGATCCAAACAAACAAGAAGCTACGAACGGAACCAAGGGCATCGCTACGAACGGAGCAAGGGTGGGGTCTCTGGGCCAACTCGGTGGTCTCGCTGCTCCTCAGCTCTGGGACACCGTGCAACCTGGGCCTGTGGTGCAGTGGTGGGAACTGATAGGAAGCCTCAGGCAGGGCAGGGACACCCCAGACTTCAACCCAAATCAAAACGGATGCTATATATTGATGAACTAGGATCAACATGGAATGAACTACCTATATAGGGGAATCTAGGGGATGAACTACAAGTCTAGGACCAGGATGAAAAATATTGGATTAATGAGTTCGAACTATAGGGGGCCCCTTCAACAGTGACACAGGTGACCCCTTCAATCGCTCGCACTCTGGCCCAAAAGACAGGTCTTTGAGTCGCGGTGAAGTACATGCTTCAAAGAAAAGGACACGAAAGAACCACGTCACCCACAATTTCAGGCACCAAGAAGATCCTTTCTTTTTTTCCAGAACACCCATCAGTGCCTCAATGACCGCGCATCAGTGCATCAGTGCGGATCAACAGGCCGTCACCACCAATGTCTCGAAGGATGTTCACGCGCCCAGCGCCAGCTGGTGCCCAGCGCGGAGCTCGGCAGCCCCGGCCGTGGCGTGGGAGAGTAGGTCCAACCTCACGACGGGAGGGCACTGCCAGTCTGGGGATCTGTTAAAATACAACACTCGTAGATCAAAACCAAACCCCACAAGATCTCATTTTACTGGAGTTGATACAAAAACACTACTCGCCATGAGGTTTTCAGGATAGCCGTTCGATTCTATGTTGCAGGGGTTGGAACCCCTGAAAATAACACAGAATCAGAGTAGCCAAGGCTGAAGTCAAAATAAAATAAGAGCGGGCCAAGGTTGAAAAAAAAAAAACTCTCAAAATAGATCAGTGGAGCCAACGTTGAAAATTTGATCAGGTAAGGCCATGATTTAGAAAATGATGTGAGGGTAGCCAAGGCTTTGAAGCAAAATGTTGGCATGGCTCGTTTTGTTTCAACATCTTGATTTCTACAAATGATTTGGAGGATTCAAACTCCTGTTCAATCATCCTTCCCATGCTTTTCATTTCGCAACCTGGTGCAGGCACTGGTCAATTTTGAGACACAGCAAGAAGTGCCACAATACACAACATCTCAAAACATCACTGATTCTATAAACCAGCCTGCTAAAAATAGAATCAGGGTGCCAACCCCTTTTTATTACATGTCACTGGTTTGGTGGCCAACATGGGCCAACCCATTTTTACGCTTCTTCCTCACAATAAATCTACCTACCCCAACCCCACCTCACTCTTTAGCATATTAATAATCGAAAAAAGAGCTCTAGCATGCTCTAGCCATCCCTTTTTATGTTAAGTGTAGGCACGGCTATTTTCAGGACCAGGTTTGGACCTGGGTCAGACTGGACCCATAGGGATCCATATCGCGGCCCGGTACGGTATACATACCACGGCCGGCCGTTTACACCTGGGCTGTCTGCAGAAGTCGACACGAATCAGGCGGATGTCCACGACCGCAGGTCGTTCACATTGAGATCATATTCTATCAGCTGCGGTGTCCCTGAGGCAAAGGCAGAGGCCCGAGGTGGATAACCACCTGCGAGAGGCCCGAGGTCAGGCACCGCCAAACAGCAGCGGGACGGAGGTTCTGGACCCGGTGTCGGAGGTTCTGGACTTGGAGCTATAAAGGGGTGGAACCATGTGAACACAGGCACAGGCATGTCAAAGTACTGAAATTGAGATCTGGAACGAGTCCAGGGGCAGTACATGAACAGGAGGCCAGGATTGGAAATTACAGAGGAAGCGCGCCAAGAGTTCTAAGATGTTCTGAGCAATTCCTCTCAATTCGTCGGATGTTCTGCATCCGCGAACCCGCAGTGTTTCACGCGCCTGCCACAGGAGTGCCCACGGGTGTGCTCCAGGGGCTTTGCAGAGGTGACATCTGCCCACCTGCAGTTGCAGCTCAGCCAAGCTGATTGGGATGAGGGTGGATGGAGGGATGAGGCTGAGGGATGAGGGCAGGATGGAGTTGAATGAGGGAATTCTTCCAAACAAATGCTCATCTGTCAAACGTGTTGTTTCAGCATGTTTCAGTTGGAGTCTCTCATTGCGGGAAAAATCAACTTGCAAAGCTAAGATTCAAGATGAAGAATCGTACTGTACGTCTCTTTCGACTCTTCAATCTACCCCAAAGGCAAAGTTCACTCTGGAGGACTGACACCGCTCCCTTCCCTTATCGCAGGGCAGTCCCGCTTTTTCTGGACGCGCGTCACATCTTCGCTTCTTAAGGGCCGAGGAGCAACATCTGCGCTTCCAAGTCTTTCTGGGCCCAACATCGAAACCAAAACAGATGTGAAAGGATGTGAACATCGAAACGGGTGATGGTCTGGAAGCCTAATGAAGATAATGAAGCGTCGGCCAGCATCTGAACCGCCGAACAGCGAGCGCAACTCGTCGTGGATCCCAAGAGATTCGGGGATCGCGTTCAATTATCCAAAGCTGACCGTTAAGCTCCCAGCTAAGATCAAGGGTCGTTGGGAAGCTCATCCTGTAGCATCAGTGAGAAACAAAAGCAAACAAGTCAACTGAACAACGGTCATGCGAAGCTACGTAGGCGGCTTAGTGAGTTTGAGGTTCGACGAAGCAAAACAACCAGAAACAAATATCGGTTCTTCCGATATGGCCATTCTTTACGTCAGAACAAATATTGGATGGCTGGGACTGGGGAGTTCCATCCATTTCTTTCTGGTTGGGACTGGGTCTTCCAGGATCTCCCAGGTAAACAGTCTGCAGGGCGCCGCTGCGGGACCCCGCAAGTTCCGAGTGGCGCATGGAAACGCTGTGGGTGCCTCCCCTCGAGCCAAGCGACTGCCCCGGTTTTGTCCGGGTGAAAAATAGGAGAAATCAATGGCACCATGGGCAGGGCTTTCCACAAGCCATGAGCCCCTCAGGCCTGAATGTCCATGATTGTAGACACTTGCCTCTTTAAACTGTACGGGCAAATCTATGCGAAAGATATTACGACGTAGGGGCCACTGGCTTTGTGGCCGGAAAAGTGGCCGACGATCGCACTCCTTGGGGAGGACCAGGTGTCTGCCGAAGAAACGGTGATTTGGTCTGGTGCTTTGATCTCTCTGATTCTCTCTGCCCATGGAAGGCGACAAACACCTACGCACCAAGGAGTGCGTCCGCCGTCTCACACTTCAACCTCAGATCAAGATCTTGGATTCCCCATATTCCCCCCCTCAATCGTAGAGTGGGTGTAATCGCCGAAAGCGTCCCACATGAAACCGATGTGAACTCCTGAAGCCGACCTGCCGGGCTGAACATGTTTGGAGAAACAGCGGGGTCGGTGAAGATGGTCTGGCCAAATCCGAGAAAGAAAAACATCTATGGTTTTGAGTGTGACAACTGCTTGGCACTGCTTGGTGTGTTTTAAGCCTTTTTGGCTGTCAGACGGCTTGCCGTTCTGGAGACACCTTCTTTAGCTTTGGGGCATTCTCAATGTGCCCATCAGATAGTTCCTTCCCATCCACAAGCTCAGATGTCTTTTTAGCAAATTGGTTTGCAATTTTGTGCAAAAGAGTCTTCTTGTTACTCGTGCTTCCCTCAGTCAAAACGTAACAGCATTTTTCGATTGGAGGGCGTTCCCAGCAGTGCGCCCAGGTCCCTCGTCGACCTTCGCAGCCTTTCGGTAGATATTCCTGTTGAACCCTGTTTAAAGAACCCTTGGATATATCCCAAGAACCCTTATCTACGGCCTGTGGATGATGGTTCGTAAAGTTTAAGGCCTTTCTCCAAACATCGCGATCATTGATGATGATGGTTTATCGCACTGTTACAGGTCATGGGACACCCATGGACACCCTTGGGACACCCATGGCCGTAGATGGTCACACCCACGTCGCCCTCTTCCCGACCTTCCACCTGTCTGAAGTCCCGGGCAATTTGTCGGACAAGGCTTTCTCTGTTCTGTCCAGGGGTGCCAGTACCAGGCCGGTCCTGGCAAAGTATGAGGATATGTAATATATTGGATAGAGGAGCCTGTTGATCTTTTTGATATATTAACCACGTAGTAGGCATTTTTAGATTAGATTGTCTATAGATGCTTTTGCGAACCTTTTCGACAAAGCAACAGCTGCAGCCACCGGGTGTTCGGTCTTGAGCCACCTTCATCCCACCGCCCCGAGGAGGGCGGTATAGCCAAACTGAATCTGCCCAAAGAGTGAAGGAGAAAATAAAAGAGGTAAAAGAGATTAAAAGATACTAGCTTCTTGTTACTACTAGTAAGGCACCTGTTACTACTAGCGAGGCACTTGTTCCTAGTAGCGAACATTGTTTCTAGCAAAGAGTACAGAATCAACATGAATCAATCAAACCGGCACTGCAGGAGCATCGTCTTTTCTCCACATCTCACATCTATTCACGACTCATCTCATCTGGGCCAGGGGGGCCATCTCATCTCTCACGACTCCATCATGCTCTAATGTACTTGATTAATAAGACCCCCATATGAAGAGGATTGTCCATTTCAATTGGGTGCTTTGTTAATTAATCAAGAGTCTACATTATCAGGATTATCAGGATTTGGATGGTGTTGATCACTTCATGATGCTGCATGATGTTGTTCCATGATGCCAGAGGCATGATGAACCAGGTAGTGGGACTTTGTTGATACAACAGCGGAGATCAAAAAGAAACTCTTTTGAAAGCCCGACGAGATCACCCCAAATCCTGCACACATGATACACATGTACATCCTTTTGGCTCCCAACACCCTGGCGACAATCAATCAGTGATCAGAAAACAGACCTGAAAACAAACCCGTCCAAAGGAAAATTTGGTCAACAGGACGTGCTTGTCCGCCCCCTTCCAACCGCGCGATTGTCCTTGGTGGCAGGTTGAGCTTGAAGAGGCCCGTGTTGAACTGGCGGCCAGTAGAGTGGATGCTGGACGTGAAAACAAGGTCCGTGTGTCACCAGTCGTTGTTGGAAGACCTTGACTTCAGAAAGAGTTCAAGCCCATCCAACCCTCCCCAAGTGGTAACAATGATTCAACCAGCCGAAGAGAAGTGGAGTCTGTGCATCTCAACATGAGTTTCTTAATGATCTTTCTTCCTGGGCATCCGTTGAAATTGAAACCAACGGAAGCACCCTCGTGACCCTGACCTTTTGAGTCGGCTTCAGGAGCGGCTTCTCGTTCTCGCCGCCAAAGCGAGGATCCTCCGGGCAAAACCCAAACTGAGGATCCTCCGGTTGTTCGATCGATGAAAACACAAGAGGAATTCCTTTGGCTCTTGTATTGAATTGTCATTGGTTGGAGCAAGTTGAAGCGATGATCCTTCTGAATCCTTCTGACACACAGTGCTTGACCTTGGGTGACTCTTGGGCCGCTCGGAAGAGCGCTTTCCCGCCAAAACGTCGCCTTCTCATTGGCACGTTCTAATCGTATTTCATCGTTGCCGTGGGTCCGTTCGTCGTGTTCGTCCATGGCGAGCGGACCAACTGGAACAACTGGTGGGCGTTGACTTACATGGCTTGTGATCATACCAGATATATAGCCAGTATAATCCATTATAATCCAGTATAGCTGTTCATGCTCCTTACTTCTTTCGACATGGATCTCTATCTCCCTGTTGTTTCAAAAACACACACACACACATTCTCCTCGGTGTCTAAAGCGACCACCACCTCCCTCGCGATCTGCACATCCTGCAGAGCGCCGATCCGCTCCGCTTCGGACCCGTGGACCGGTCTCCACAGACCGTTGCGCGGAACCGGTCGTTGCACCACTACATATTCTACCAGCACCACCCAGTTCGGGTGGTTATTAGATGGTAAATACATCTTCAGGGGGGTCTATAAACCACCTTTTGGGTGGGGAGCAACAAAGACGCAACAAAAGCCGCGTCAATTCCAGTGCCACGCTACACTGATCAGATCATGCTTTCCATCACTCGAGCAACTAGCAAATCAAGGCCCGCATTCCTCGCGCGTTCCGCCGCTAAGCAGTGCAGCACCTGCCTTGGGCAAGTCTATTCTGAAGTCGGTTTGACCCTCGCAGGGATGGAAGTTGATGGCGAAAATGCAGCCTCGACAAGGGAAAGGATGAGGTCTTGTGGCACAGTCGTCCACTGGGCTGGGCAATAAATACTCTATATGTATGTATCTGAAAGAACTCTATAGTTTGAACATGTTTGAACAACTGATGTATGAATAAGAAAAGGGAACCCCGTACATTGAATTTAGTTGTTTATCCCCTTCCCAGTGATCTTTGGAAATTCAACCCATTCAATACAAAATATTCTAATACCATGATGTAATGCCTATAGAGAGAGAGAGAGATAAACGATGGAGATCTGTCAAACTCCGGCATTCCTTCCAACCCAGCCCCAACCAAAATACCTTCCGGAAACAGGAAGGTTGGTTGCCTCACCAATATCTCACTCACCTCTTCGACGTTTCGGCCGGTTTCGGCCGAAACGACCGGCGCTGGGTGTCTGGCCACTCCTCACAAAACACAGGATCTTTTTCTCCTCATCGGCCAGCGCTACATGATGCGTGGGGCTCTGCAGCCACCTGGCAAGTCCGGAGAAGTGGACGGGGGCATCCGCCTCCATCGGATCACATCATAAAGCCCTTTCATTCTCAACGGATTCTCGCCCTCAGGGTCCTCTCATTTCAGAAATTCACCATCATAGCTATAGAAATCGTCTGATTTCTCGTCTCTTCCTCTTGACTTCCCTGTATTCCTTCGACTCCAGCAGGTGAACTCCGTTAATTTTACTGGAACAAAAATGAAACCACTTGGGACCCTGTGGGACATCTGTGACATCCGCCAAAGAGGTAGGTACCTCACAGGCCTATCTCACACCTACCAGGGGACATACCTTCTGGAACATTCTGGAACCTTCGAACCAACGCAGGCAGAGTGCAGACTCCACGCCCGACACGGACGATCAACGTCTTCACCTCCCAAGTCGCGACGGAGAGAAAACACCACCGCGGCGGCTTCTCCGGACGAAGACGCGCCCAGGCGACTGCAGTGAAGCGCCAATTCGGTTCAGGAACACGTCGAAGACGTCCAAATGCCTGTGGAACACGTTCGACTGAGACCCAGCCCGGGACTGGCACATGTGGCATCATTGGGGTGGTTGAACGGGTCAAGCATATATTCCAGTCCCATGGAGCCTCGCTATATCATGCTATAATGAACATTATATTATGTGCAAAGTCTTGAACCGCAAGTAGTGCAGCAGTCTCGGTTTCTCTGATCTGACCACCAGAAGATCATCAGATGTGATGCATTTTTGTGTTCTGCAATGTGTTGATGTTCGCAAATCTGAGGCTGCAGCTTGTATTTCAGGCCGGTATTTTCCTTAGCACCGAAGGCTGGAAAACGTCAAAACACGTCCTCCTGTCACCTAGGCCTTTTTGGACAAGGAGCCGCTTGGCTGTAGGGCACATAGGCCTTGTCCTGCATCAAGGAGAAAAGGATACGGGGGGATGAACTGTCTGAACCAGATCGGTCTCACACCCCAAACACCTGCGTTTCACCGCGTCGCAGCGGTCTGTGAAAAGCCCGAGAAAACCAGGTCCTTGCTGTGGCCATTGCCAGGTCGGGGCAAATCCAGCGGATCCACCATGCCGAACCTTCGGCCGGGCGGGTGGTGAATCGATCCATCTTGGAAGGTGTCTTCTGCAGAAGTGGAAGAGGAAGAACCTACAATGACAGTTCACAGTACAAACATCATTGAGTTCCAGTTCCGGGTGATGTCATTGCTGAACAAAAACCACACATCACCATGCCACCGTCTCACCATGCCACAGCGCCCATCCATCAGGACGGGACGGTCCCATCCCACACCGTCCATCCAGGTGCCGCACTCGGAGCCCATCCAGGTCATGCTGGCATCCAAGCCTCGGGGGAACGAGTTCTTCCCAAACGAGTTCGCCAGCGTATGTCTTTTTGGGTGCGGAGCGATGTCAGGTCAGAAGAAACCACCCAAAAAAACACAACGATTCGGTTTGTTGGGTGTTTCTGCCATGGTTGGTTTCCAAACTACTTTGGTTTTTGTGTGTTTATGTTTGCCTTGGTCTCATGAGATTTCCCCAAACCAATCAGTGTTCATATAGTATGTGGGTGTTGTGAGAATGGGTGTCGTGCTATCCGCTTTAGCTCTCCATGTCTTGACACATCCACATGTCTTGGCAACTTTACCCACAGGGTTGATGTAGATGACCAATGGCAATGGTCAGGGCTTCAAGATCTTCAGGGTCCCGGTGTCTTTTTTCTCAGTGAGCCGATCTGATGCTTTGAGATGGATTGAGTGAGTCAAGTGGACCGAACATCGCCAAGCGATGTCCATATGTACCATGTGTGTGTGCGAGGTCCGTGGCACGACGAGAAGTTCTCGGCAGTGGCACGACCAATTGCTGCCTTTTGCTTTGTTGGTGTTGACTCTAATATAAAACCCTAGGGCCCTAGGGCTCCAGTCGTACCTTCGTTTCGAAGCTGCTTGGGGTGGGTGCCAGCACGGTCCAGTCATACCCTCTCCAAAAAAGGCGCAACCGGAGACGCTCGGGGACGCTTGGGGACGCTCGGCCCGGTCGCGTCGCGATCTCGCGTCGCGATCTCATCCTGCCCGAGCGGCCCATGGCCGCCGACACCAGCTTCGACATCTTCAGCCTCGGTGCGGAGCGCCCAGAACCGCCGGTCCGGTCCGAGGGACGGGAGAGGGCCAGGCAACCGGTGAGGTCAGGAGAAGCACCTGTTGAGGTCGGACACACCCCGTCACACCTTCCGGATCCCTCATTGCTGGGCCTCCGTTGAAAGGGTTGCTGGCCAGCGAACTACCACTAAAGAAGCAGGAGGTGCATTGATCATTGTTTGTGAAAGAAACAATGGTTGGTTGCTTGCAGAGTGACATTTCTAGGAGGCTCTGACCGTCCACTAACTAGCTGAGGCTGGGCGGTCACTCAGAAAAAACAAAGGAATAAATCCAAACACACCAAAACGCCCACGTCGGACAGCCGCCGGGCCACAGCTGAAGTCCTCGGATCACCAGGTGGTTGTTCTCCATGACGCCCATGTTGTTCCTCGGATCACCAGCTGGGTGCAGCTGAGGTGTTCATGGTTCTGGTGGAATCAGAAGTGGTTCATGGCTTGACCAAGTGGTTCAAAAACTGGTTGCTTCAGCTCATGAGGAAAAAGTGGGAAGGAACTGGAGACATGAGAACAACAAGAACTCTATGGAGGATTCTGCAAATTGCTCACTCCGCCGTTGAACCCGCCGACAAGTCCAAAAAAGTACTGTATCTCAGAGTATCTCATCAGGCTCTGGCATTCTCAGCAGGAAAACGAAATGAACATCGGCTTTGTGAAATATGGAGTCAAGACTAGGGAGCAAGCGTTTTTCTTCCCAGCCCTAATGGTCACAGGTCCATCGACTGAACCCATGGTCCACCGACCCCATGTCGTGGTGTTGAGAGCTTTCGACGCTGGATCCGGTGATTTCAGCGGTCGGCACAGCTTGGAATCCTGTGATCCAACCCGAGTTGATCAGACGCTCCATGTATGGAATATTTGCCTACATTGGGGTGGTTTGGGGGGTGAATGTAGGCATATATTCCAGTCCCATGGAGTGTATGGGGTACAGTATATTGTTGGTCCAGACTTTTTGCACCCAACACTTTGGATATCTTTGGATCCAAGAGGCTCGGTGAAATAGTCTTTCCCTGCTGGACCACAACAAAACATACCATCGACCCGCCAATTTGATCATTGTTGCCGGGACATCCACAGTTCTGGCAGTTTGTCCACATCCCCAACAGTCGTTCTTCGTTCGGGTAATTACTTCCACAGCAGGTCACCATTGGTTCATTGGTTCCAAACAGATCCCCTTCCACTTAAGCGCTCCTGCTTCCTTGAAAAAGACCAGCTTAGAGTCGCTCTACACCTCCCCGAAAAGAATCCTGTCTTTCTCCCAAACTTCACCCCCTTCACCACAAAACACCGCGTTTCAACCACTACCCAAAAACAGACAAACAAACAAACAAACCAACCGCGCGCACGTCGACGTTCGACTCACCGCTGAACCGAGCGGCCGGTGCTGTCCTAAGACCTGCGCCGCGAAGGGCGAGCCAATGCCCAAGCCCGTGTAGCGGAACTTCGGGGTACCTTTGGCGCCACCGGAACAGGAGACTGATCGAGGAAAAGCGTCGATTTCGCGTCTCGCTCGACGGATCCAGGTGGGTTGGAAGGTCCAGGTGGGTTGGAAGGCGGGTCGGAAGTGGGGGGGGATTCTGAAGAGGTGCAAAGATGTACGAAGCAGTGTTGGTCAAAAAAAAAGGAATCTAAAAAGACACACAAGGGTTCTGAGGTTCATTCGCTCTTTAGTGAACATTCCATTTCTTTTCGGTCTACGTACCGTCTCATGTTCCTCATCTAGGACAAACTCTATATAAACCAATTTGCGTTGGTTAGTTTTAGTCCTCCGCAAATGGCAAGTGATGTCATCATCATCCCACTCATCCCCTGTCAGCCCCGTACCATGGAGGTTCATCTGCTCGTAGTAGATCCTGGCGCGTGTGAGGAGGGCCGCACGGCCTTCCTGCCGCGGGATAGATCTGAATGGGTGAAAAAAAGACATCCCAAATGATCCATACCAGCTGCTTCCAAGACGGCTGTGTTTGGCTTTGACCTAGTACTACTTCTTCAAACAAACACGGCCCGCTTCTGGAAACCTGTGGATTTTCCAAAATAGGTACTCTTGGCCTCTTTTTGATGTAATGGGATTGGCCAGCTGTCAATGCATTTGAACCCGCAACATCCTGCGGAGCTGGACAGCTGTTGGGTGTCAAACATGGAGAGCTGCAATGTTTTTGGCACACCGGCGAAGAACATGTTATCGCAAAGGACAACTGTTTTCCCTGAAACTTGTAATTAGTATGTTTGCAGGTGTGTGATAATTATTCGGCGATAGGTTCATAAAATCCTATGTCCAATATAATATATAGTTATAAATTAGATATAAAATGATATAAACCAATACACGTCAACCTCCTGAAACAAAAAGACAAAACCACCACATCACCGAAACAGCCCAACGCTGCGCTTTCCTCGAAGCCGCAGTGAACCCTCCGCTGTTCCCTCCAAATCCGGGTTCCCCGGGCTGCTCGGTCTTGCGAGCAATGAAGGACCAGTTGAACTCGTTCAGGGCCTTCCACTGCTCCCGTGCCCGATCGCACGAAACCAGAGAGGTGGAAGGGTGGTGAGGCTGCGCGGTGGGGTCACCGGTGGCGGAATTCGGGTCACTGGACTTCGTGTCCCATTGATGTCCCACGTATGTTCCGCACGGTTTCTTGTAGAAACTTCATCGCAAGATGTCACTGGGTGACTATAGGTCATTCTTGGGGAACATCTGAGGTCTAAAACAGGTGAAACACCAGGCCCGAAATTCTGGGTGTGGAACCTGTCCTATGCCGCTCCAACCATGTCACAGGTCTTTCTTCTCCCAAGTCACGATCCTATGATGTCAGAGTTGATCGTCGACCACCTCTTCTGAATGCCTATGACTCCTATGACTGACTCCCGAGCTGTTTTTTATTGAATCATGATTGATTGTAAACCTTTTTCCGCCTGATTTCCTTGGAAAACGGCTCATTCACCTTTTTCTACCTGATTCTGCCTGCTCGTTTTGAGTCGGGTGTCCGACAGCTCTGCGCCGAGAGGATCGCCCCCATGCGCCAGCCGAATGCGCCCAGTCCTCACCTTCTCTTTGGCGACTCCTCCCATCCACCTGTGGATGGTAGCGGGTGACGACCGATGTCCAGTCAACACGTACATGGTGTATGGAGTGTATGGAACAATCCGGGTGACTCCAAACGGCGGGTGGGTCGGAGATGTCGCAACCTGGCCTGGCGTGTTCGAAGTTTTCGCAAATCTTGCAGCAGCCCCATGCCTCATGGAAGTCGGAAGATGGGCTCGCATGTATTCTCATCGCTTCATCGAGGCGTGTTTTCAGCGTTTCGATGCTGAAATCTGAGGCTCCCCGGCGATGCTCCCTGGATTGGGATCCACCAAATATCCTTCTCGATCCGGTCGCACCTCATGCCCCCCAGAAACCATCCATTCGCCCAAGACATCACAAGACATCACAAGACCTGTGCCCTCGCCCCTGGGCGCCCTCTCGCCGCCCCTGAGGGCCACCTTCCGGAATTTTGGAATGAAGAGCTGCGGCTGAGGGGCGAAGTCCCTGGGACCACCACAGGTGGTGGCAATCACTGGCTTGCTGGCCGCCCAGGCCTATGACAACCCGTCGGGCGATGGAATGGAACAACCGCATCGGCCGATGGACGTCCCCCCCCCGAAGCGTTCGGCGCCGTTCGCTTCGGCTGGTTCTCTTTGCACCAGATCTGGTCACCAAGCCTTTCAGGATCCACTTAGTGTTGGATATGTATGGTATCTGTTGTGATATTTTGGGGTTGGGGTTGAGAACCTGAAACGGGTTGCACCCATGGGGTCTCGGAGATGTTCTCCCGGGCATGACCTGCAGCAGAACCGGAAAAAGGAGTCTGCCGGCTCTGGAGTCCCTCGGTCGGGTGGTCCAGCACTCACTCACATGATTTTTTCCGTAGCACTGGCTAGCGGCTAGAGTCAAATTGATCAAATTAAGGGGCTGGTTTTGTCCATCACTCATATCTGAAGATCTCCGCAACGGCACAAGCGATCTCAAATGGATATGTTCAGCAGTTTTGCATTTAGCATTGTTTAGCCCAAATGGACACCGGGAGATGTTAAAGCTGTCCTGGTTTGGTTTGGGCTTATTTATCAACTTGTCTACATGACGCACACTCTAAGGCTTTGAATGCTTTGAAGGTGGCCCGCTTCATGAAAAAAAACACACACGTCCTGGTGGCGTGGATTCAAAAAAAAGCCACGTTCGACCTTCTCAGAGTCGGGACGTTAAAACATGTTAAAACACCACTGGGTGGAAGGTGGAACAAGCAGCTGTTGCTTCGTAACGTCCCTTCTCCGGAGAAAGAACATCTACACCATCGGAATGATGTTGGTTGGCAGGTCCCCGTATGAAAATACACACCCATTGGAATTCAACAAAAAGGTCAACTCTCCACTCCATGTCGAATCGTCTGGCCTCCAGCACCACAATGCCAAAGGGTTCGTTTCGGCTGGGCACAATGACAGCATCACACGATTTGAAGAGGGCCTGGCAGGAGGAGAGAATTCAAGAAATTAAGCCTGGCACACCCCAAATGGATAGTTTTGCGGGGTTTGCAGCCATGCAGTACAAGAGACATTAAGGGAGCTTCTATCAGGTTTTGGCTGTTACGGTGAATCCTTCGAAGATGCTATGACCATCTGTGACCCAGCCGGTCTTTGCAGCAGAAAACTCTCTTTTGGGGGGATCCCCAAAAGGATATGTCAGATATTGACCAAAGGATTGAAGGGTTTCACATGAGGTCTTTGAGGGATTTTGCTCATCAATTTTAGGTATCGAAGGCTCTCCAAGGGGATTCATATGAGTCATAGAGTGATGAGCAAAATCTCGGGACCGACCCCAAGGGGAGATGGGGAGAGTCCTCCCTTTGCCGGGAGGTTCTCCCCTCTTTCAATCCATTCTGAACCAACCAGGGCTCAGGGGGAGAATGAGGTTGTCCAGTTCTCATATAAAAAGAATGTACAGTACACTCCCTGAAATCATCATGGAAATGGACGTTGGATGGACCATGTTTCTCCATGGAACGTGACTCGGAGTGCATCGTTCATTGAACCAAGACGTGGTGGCCAACTTCTTGGGTTCTCAAACCCGTCTACCCAGTGAGACATCTTGGGGCAGTCTTCAACAGCTTGTCTGCCCGCTACCAGTGCTATCCATGTCACATGTCTAATTAGCAGCCTAGCAAGGCCCCTTTCTTGAAAACAAACATCTTGGAGTGTGATCACCCCCGAATGTTGTGTCTCTTCGCATTTGGATCAATGGTCACCACATCTCCACATCTCCATCCTAAATAGCTCCAGCGTCCGTCTCCTCGCCTTCAAATGCGTAGTGCCACTCTTCACCTCGGCCGTTCCACATCCCGCTCCGCTCCGACGCCGACGTGTCGCTCGCTCCGATACACGCGCGCGCGCGCGCGGAGAACGGCGGCTGGGAACGTCCGGGCGGAACCCGCGAAGTGCACAGCATGGCCCACGCCCAACCTGGTGGCCGTGGCGGAGCTGCAAGACATCCCGTCTGTTCCAAAAGATCATCCTCTCGGATATGCAAATAAGCGACCGGCAAAACATGCATGGTCAATAGGCAAAGATAGATTCCAAGATGTGTACTGTCACAAGGCTAGGTATATATCTTTTTTGGGATGACTATCGTTTTTTCAAAGAAACATCCAAATTTTCTTTTTTGAAGAAAGGTGAGTGCCGACCTTTAGCACTTTGCTCAAATATAGATGCGAAGCATTCAGTAGATTTCAAGGCGCGTGGCTGGTGGGCACGGGCTTCCAAGTGCGCCTTCATGTGGCCGTCTCCGACCTTGGGAGAGCGAGGTCCAATTCGATCGAATTCACCAGCCTCCCGGTGCACTGTGGATCTACAGTTTTGGTGTCCCGCTTTGCTCTCCAAGGTCGCCATTGGTGGGAGGATTTGAGTCAGCTTTGCATCCGATCTACTTGTCGGAAGCTCCAGAAAAGCCGTCCACGCGTCGGCCTCTTGCGCATCCTTTCGACTGAGTCTCCAGTTGGGTGTGCCTCTTTTGCCCCCCACATCCGGATGCACTTGGATGTGTTCTACCGTTACAAACATGTGTTTAGTTTAGCATGTCAATGTTACAATACTTCTTTCGACTCTCCTCCTTGGAATTCAACCTCAACCCTGGGAGTCTCCATTCTATAGCTCTAATTCCCACCGGGATGGTTGCCTTCAACATGTTTGCTCTCCATCCACCAGTCCACCGGTGTCCACGGGTCACCGGTACTCTGCCGAGCGGCAATCACGAACTTGGCGTTGCCCCGGGCCTGGAGGATCATCGGCACTGCCTCACGGATCAGGGCGCTACCTAACACTACAAAGCATTCGATGTCGTTCAATACCCGCCTTGTGATTTGGACTCCAAGAACAACAAGATCAACTAGATCATCCATGAATAGATCAGTGATTTCTAGCACAAGTCTTGGAAGTCCTAAAGTGGTTCAGTGTGATACTCTGTACATTTATTCTTGTCCTTCCTCAGCTGCTCCTGAGATAGATCGGGTTGAGGTCTGCCACACTACAAATTCGGGACCAAGACAAAACGGAATCTGCCAACCTCCCCCCAGTCCCATCCCCCAAAAAGGGGACCGGTCCTCGCCCCTCTCCAAACGCCGATCGCCGCTCTGCCAGGCCGCCTCGAGGAGGAGATCGGGCCCCTTCTGCACCGCCAGGCGCCCGACGAAGAGGAACATCGGGTCCATGACGTCGAAGCCCTGCGAATCGACGCATCGAGGCCACCAAGCCAATTCGTTGGCAACATAAAGCTTGGACACGCCTTCACTTGGGTTCAACGCCATTGGCCCAGAGACTATATACATCTATACGCCATTGATGACCATATCACCATGATCTTACGCAGACACACAGCAAGCCGCGTTGCCACTCCTCGCTGGCCTCCGTTCGGTCCGGTGCTTCACTCTCTCGGGTTCCGACCCGTTGGTTCAACGGGGCCCACAGGAGGAGCAGGCCGATGACGTGAGAGGTTTGACCACGAAATCCCATGGAGGTCTGCGCTTGGTCAAGCTTGGTCAAGCGGGTGAGAAGAGTTGTCGGATGAAGCGGAGAGTCGAGTTTGACAAATCATTGCAGGGCTCTGGAAAGGCAGCTTTGCACACATGCTTTGAGGGAGTTCAAACAGGCGTCGTTCTTGGCCGAGCCCCCGAGTTCGATACACCTACAGTGGGACCTACAGTGGTTTCAGAGTAGATAGCACAAACGGCCTTTTTGTCTTTTAGATGGGGCTCCATGTAAACCACCTTTTGGGGATTGTGCCATCTACTCCGAAACCAATGTAATGCTAAGCACACTAAGCAATGCGACTGGCCAGGAAGAAGAATCTGCCACCTCCTACCGCCTGCTACCTCTGAGATCCCCTCCATCTGCCTGCTTGGTTCATTTCCTAACCGCACCTGCCCCACTCCTCGACCCTCACCGGTTCCGGCGCCTTGTCCCGCTTGGTGTTGCCGGTCCACTCGTCTTCCCACTCCATCTTGGCGATCGCATCTGCGTGAATGCCTCGGACCAACGAAGGACCCATCTGTGGCAGAAACCGGCCGCCACGGTGAGTCTGCTCAACGGAAAAAAAAGGGTCGGACGAGTTGTTGGGTCGCCCTGTTCCTTTTTTCGGGGGTGATGATGGGTGATGGTGACATACGTTGGGTGTGTCCTATTCCTTGTAACAGTGGACGACGATGAGACCGGCCCTGTGTTCAAGTGTCGTGTGCTACAAAAGCTTGTTTCAAGGATATCTGAAAGAATAATCTGAAGGCAAACACAAAAACAAAACGAAGCATCTGTTCGATGACTTTTGGAGGGCTTCTCATGTCGGTTGATCCGTTGATCTCGCCTTTCAGAGGCCTTCCTCACTCCCTCTTCACTCGTAGAATACAAACAGCAAGAATCAGCGAGATAGGGAGATCTGCGCACCCCGGCCATTGTAGATCACCTCGACCTTTCTTCCGTCTACTTGATAGTGGGAGCAAACCTGCCCAGCGCAGGGAGGGAACAGGGGCAGAAGTTGGAGTACAGAGTTCATCGCTTCAAGAACCCTGTGGATCCCAGTTTACTATATAGGCTATACATTAATGAACCAGGGTTTCTATGTCTCCGGTATAAGTCTTTGGAGCCACTGGTTCCGAAAAGAGACCTGGATCCAGGTCTAGTAGCTGGGCGGCGGTTGACGCATCCGTTCACACGCACGAAAGAGAGAAACAGCGAGAAAAAAAGGGATAACATTGGTTGGACATCCACCCTCATTGATTTAATGCTGTTCTAAAACATGTGTCAGCTCCCAAGTTTCAACGATCCTGCCTCCTCCTTCAACACACCAGACACTGCAATCACCCGCTCGGCCGCATGGCAGGCGTGGCCTTCAATTGATCCTCGGCCGTCCGAGCGGCTGAAACCGATTGGTGTAGAGGTTCCAATGATTAAAGTCATCGTGCTTGAAGGGCGGACTCCTTCTCTTGAACGTGGTTTCTCTTAAAAAGAGCATAAAGCATAATAAAGCCATGCATATTCATACCTGGACCTTGTAAGGGGTGTCCAATGGAGATCCTTAAGTGGTGTAGCGGCTTCCATTGGTGACCCCTTTGAAGGTGCTGGTCTGTACGTGTGTCATTGTGTGTGTCATGAAAATTGGCACAATGTTGGCACAGTGAAATAACAGCAACATGTTCTTGTTCAAGAGCACTGCATCCAGCATCCGCACGTATAAATACACTCCCAGCACTGGCTAAAGATGTTGAGGTTTGAGCTAGAAATAGTACTTTCGAGACATCAACTGACTTTCCGAGTTCCTCAATCCAGGTGGACGCATCATTTGATGCATCACAAAAGCTTATAAAAGCAGTTTCACCTCATTCCAAGGAGGTACAAGAGAACTAGCTCAAAGGTCGACCTTTGGGACCTCCGGAGCGTAGCATGTCGGTGCAGGTCACAAGTAGGTCGGTGGCTTAAGCTCCGACCAACCCCGGATTCCGGGTCTGATGTGTTCACACATCGCACCCGGCCGGACAACAACAACCAACCCCCAGGGGCCCCATGTAACATATCACGAAAGGACTGTGTGGGTGGAAGCAGGCGGTTCAGGAGTGCGGTTTGGACACCCGCGGATTCGTGTTTTTTGAGATCTGAAGGGGAACTTTCGGGTGACCACCCATCCGCCCATCCGCCAATCCAAACGGTTCAAGTCCAGAAGATCCAAAGCGGATCTTGCGCAGAAGTAGATTTAAGTAGATCATTTGCCCGACTGGTCAATTTGGACGATTTGGTGGAAATGGTGGATAATTTGGTCGATGAAATGAAATGAGTGGATTGGTGGATGGATTTGGATGGATTTGGATGGTTGGTTGGTTGGTTGGATGGATGGATGGATGGATGGATGGATGGGCCGCTTTTCTGCCGGAAGCGTCCCTCATGCCAAGCCTCGAATGCGGGCACTCTGCCCCCCGTACTGCACGTTGCCACACCGGCCCGTCTCGGTGGAGTGCATGGTGAAGACCACCTCGGCGTGAAGCTGATCCATCTGGTCTCCAAGTGGCTATATTGTTGTTAAAGATCCAGATCTTTTTGAAGGTTTTCCAGTGAAGTCTGAACATGGAACATCCAGTGAAGTGTCCATTCCAACAGAGCTGTCAGAGTGAACATGCTTGCTTTATCACGAAATGATGAGTCTTTTCAACTCACCCTCCAGCAGTTTCACATTGGCCCACTCCAACTCCCACCGTCACGTGAGACTTTCGGTGGGGGTCCCGAAACAGGGAGGGCACAACCAGACAGCCGCTCTCACGTCAAGGATCGTCGTCGAACGGGGGGGCGGCCTTCCTTCGCTTCCTTTGTGGAGGAAGCGGAAACGGTCCCCTTCCTTCGCTTCCGCCATCAGGTCCATGCCAGGCCCGGTTCCTCTACTGCATCTTCCGCCAGGAAACGCTCTAGAAACCCTCATGGTTCCGTGTGACTGTTCCGGCCCCGATAGGGCCCGACAATCCGCTCCGCTCCGAGGGGTTCTTAGCACACATGAACCTCCAATGTTCCGCAAGCATGCTGAACCCCCAAAGACACCATTCCAAGAAAGGTCTCGTCATCTCATCACCCAGGGTACTCTGCACTGCTTCCCCTGTCTTCCTCTACAAAAGGGGGTCTTGGCTTGGCTTCACTTCCTTCGCCAAAGGCACTCGTTTGTTCATGGAGGCCAGCTGAATCACCGCAGGACCCACGAGCCAGTCATGGCCGTGGATCACGTCGAAGCCACCTGCACCCAGGTGGTTCGGGTGGTTCACTCATGAGGCATCTGTGATCAAGACATGCCTTGCTTGTAGCCGATCCAAGAAGGGAATAGAAGATATTGAGCATGTCTGATTGGTCTGATGATATCTTATTTGCAGTGCTGCTTTAACAGATCTAAAAAGTGATTAAACGTCTCTGATTCGTCTGATTGGTATGGGTGGTAAAAGGGAACTCCTACAGTCACGTTGTGTGGTGTACAGCATCTTGAGGATGCTGAGCGTTTCTTCAAGACCTGAACTCATCGGAACGCAGGAACGTTTTCACCCGTCCGGTCCTCGAAGGAGTCACCCCCCCATTCCGGAGGAAAAAAGCGGGCGCCTACACGGCCCTCCACATGAAGGTAGTGCCCAACCTAGGAAGGACTTAAGGACTCCACGTTTTCAGGCGTTGGTTGCGGTGGAACCCCGGCTTGAAAGAAATCATCGTACAGATGCATTGGATGATGCAACGGGGTATTGGCATTGGTCAGATCTCCATCCCGAGGCGCGCGTCGCGTCGAACGGCGGTCTGTTCATTATGGACCCATGATCTGTGGGTCGCTGGACCCGGCGTGGTCTGTGGGCGCTTAGCCGCTCGAGGACTGGAGACGTATAAATCGAATTCAAGACGACGCCAATGGCGGTCTTCTTGGGCATGAAGTGCGGTTCGAAAGAAGAATCAAATGGACTGAGACTCAGCAAAGTAAGCCGAAATTCTGAAATTGAGCTGAATCTTTGTACATCTTTGTACAGAATTCTGTGATTCATATGTCAGTTATTGTCAGTTGTATGACATCTACTAGTCTACAGCACAGCGGAACTATGAATCGATTAAAGAAAAATCCTCCATGAGTCAATCGGAATCTGTGCGAAACCTGTGCACATACCCCGGCCTGCACATAGCCTACATGTCATTATCATATGACATACCCCTGACATATGGATGCCATACCCCTAAACATATGGATGCAATGTACACCCTGGAAGACTAACATGGACCCTGAAAACCACTGGTTGGTAGAGGAAAACACTCTTCCAGGGGGGCCATTGGACCCGGGTCTATGTTAGTTTTCGGGGGTGTATGACATGTATGACTCGTCCCCTGCATTCCTGACGGACCCGCACGAAGGAGCTGCACATGTTCTCGATCTCCCTCACGAAGTCGCTGTCGGTGCCGAAGTTCACCTAGTTCTCGGACCGTCTGTCGGTGCAGTTCTTGCGGCTTCAGGACCAGTGAGGGCGAAGAAAAAAACACATGTCATTTGAGACTGACAAGTTCTGTAACATCCAACTTTGGCTCACTGACCTCAGTACCTCAAGAGATTCTGGATAATTCGGGTTTCAAATGGATTTTCTGGTGCTTTCTGACAGGATCCGGTCAAACACCCAATCCGGAGCTAGGTCTCCCTCCACACAAACATGACCAGCTCACCATCTGTAATCTGGGACCTCACATGACCATGACCAGCTCACTTCGGGGGCCTTCAGAAGCATGAAGGTCAGGGCAAGGTTTGAAGCTAGTTCCGCCAAGGTCTCTTGAGACCCATGGCAGGGCCAAGAGATTGATGGCAGCCACATTCTGACCCACTGGAACTATTTTTAAATGAATTTCTAAGATGTGATAAAGATTGAATCAGTCTCCTGAAGTTGGCTTTGATATCGACAACCTTCGGCAACCACTCAAACAATATAGGTATACCGCCCTAGCCTTGTGGTCGTCCTCCTGTCATCGTCTATGATCTCTCTCTCCCTTTCTCTCTCCCACCTCGTGGTAGATCACACCCAAGATCTCATTCTCCCAGGTACGGCTCTGTGTGGAGCGCGTGAAGATGTGCACGGTGTGACCTCGAGCGTTGAAAACACCATCGGAGAGAGAACAAAAGGGCGGCGGCGTGAGAAGAACCGCGAAAAAAACCCGTCCCCTGAGGTCGGCCCCAAAAACGGGATCCTTTGATCCTCAAACGGGCTGATTTGTGAGGTTGCAGCTTGCTGGTCCCACCACGTACCGCATCACCACGACACCAACCCCGCGCCGCGGGCCGCGGGCCGCGACGGGATCCGCCCGGACTCCGCCCGGAAGACGCCCGGGTGTCCGAGCCGATCTTGTGCAAGGCGCCGGCCAGCTCAGTCACCTCGGCGGAGGAGCATCTCGGAAGGGCTCAGGCAGTGAAACAGACCAGGTGAAGGGTGGAGAGTGACTGAGAGTGATAAGAAGACCAAATAGATCCAATAGCTGAGAAATGCTGAGAATTCTCAGCCCACTATGATAGCAGGAGCCTGGAATAAGATAGTGATGAACCCTCATTGATGAATTCTATATTGATCACTGGCTGATAAGGTCCCAAGTTACAAGCTCTTGAGGCACCAACTTAGGAATCAATCCGCATGGGTTCAATGGCATTCATCGTTCACCATCTTCGACCCCTCATTCTGAAGGGCAACCCAAAAATCGCTACAAAATCCCGGATGAGCACGTACATGAAGACCCATGATATAGATGAGGTGGCCTCAAAAATAGGGTGCCCTGAGAAAAGAGACCCTTCTCTTCGAAAAGGGCCCTCTGACACGAAGCCGTTGAACCAGGTGGAACCAGTTCTCTCTGCTGAAGAACCCGCCCACTCGGATGCCGGACATGCGGGGCGACGCCACCCGCGGCAATGGTGTGAAGGGTCTCCCACCTAGGGAAGATCGGAGGAAAAACGCAGGAAACACCCGTGCAGAAGGTCAAAGATTGGCACACTTAAGATATCCACAAGCTATAATATATCGAAGAAAATAAACATGGTTTCTGGGGGGCCGGGTCCCTTTTTGTACCCTGGAAGTCAAAGACCCTGTTTAAAATGGTTGATCTGGTTCTTGTAAAACCCTTAGTACAACAGCTGGTTGTTTGGACTAATGATTCAGACCATTAAATCAATGGTGCTTCGACTGCTCGGCCTTAAGAGGGCCGAGCGCGGGACGTCCACAAGATCCGATGCGGTACGTCTGGGATTCTCAGGTTTTTGTTGGATCTTCAGGTGGAATCTGCTTGCGGCAAAGGTTGCATTTCACATCATGATCATATCCGGCTGAGATCCAATATGAGGCATCCAGCTTCCAGTGGCCGGCAGGAGTTCTTTCATACACTTTGGTTGGGCACGACAATCCTGTGAGGCTTGGCTTTAAAAAAATTATGTAACATAACACCGCACGTGTATATATATATATATACGATATATATATATATATAATTATATATATATTATAAGGTTCACCGTTTCACCCCAACCGTTTCCTCTTTCAACTCACATTTGAACTTTGGCACAGTGTCACCGTGGTGTCCCTCTGCGCGAGGACCCAGAGGCGACTCCACAACCGCCGCGACGAACGAACTCCACCCCTGCGCGAGGGCCCCCGTGCGACAGCATCGCGATCTTCAAAGGTCGACGTCCCAGGATCTCAGCGAAAACCGTCGCCCCCCGACGAACAGCGGTGAAGCGCAGCACGTCAGTTTGGCGTTTGGCGGGTGGAAACGTCAGTTTGGAGACCCGTGGAGAGGGAGTTGATGCATGTCCGTTTTTGGGCAGGGCGTTGTTTCGCCTCCCCGCCGCGGAGGCCCTCGCAGCTGGCTGGATCCTCCCCATGCAGGGCTTGGGTTCGCAGCTCTTTAGAGAAGTGGGTCGCCTAGGTCCGGAGGTTCAAGGCTCCGGTAGGTCCGGAGGGGCCACCCTCAGAGCGGACTCTGAGCTTCCAAACGCAGTGCTCAGCAGACTCGAAGGAGCCCAAGATCTTATCAGTGGGTCGATACTGCTTCACCTCCAAGGGTTCTTCGGTGAAGAATCTAGGTGAAGAACATGGAGAGAGATAATAGCAGAGGCGAAACACAAGGAATTTACAGGAGCCAGCAACCAACATTGACTTCTCTTCATTGCTTTTTGCCTCAGACATGTAGTCCACGATCTTCTTCATGCTCCACTCTTCATCTCGCCCTGGCAAAAGGCACAGCGGTGGCTATCTTTCCTTTCAACAGCTACACCCAGAGTAAGGTGCTTGACATGTGCTTGACCAAGGTGGATTTGGGTCGGTCTACTGAGTCTACTTACTTCGCCCAAACCACGCCTCCCAGCACCAGCTCTCGGAACAAATCGGGCGCATTGGAGGCCTGGCTGCAAGAGACTCCGGAGGGGGTATCCTCACAGGTATCCACTAGTTTTGAGAAATTGGTCCAGGCACGTGGCTGACATCCTGGATTGATGGACTAGTTACTAGTTCCTGAGGAATCTCTAATCATTAATGCGACATCCATTGTTCATGTGCATGTATATATGTTCTGGGTTTTTTGCTTGCTTCTCATGTCAAGAGCCGCGCTGGTCTGCGAGACTGAGACAATCAAGATACCTCAAGATCTCTCAAACAAAACAACCCATTGAACATACACCTTGAAACTAAACCACAAGATCATCTCCATGTTCCCCCCAAGATGCTTCAGCACATAGCAGGATAATTATATCATGCATGATAATCCACATGCAGAAACTAATCCAGCAACTGGCGGGTATCCCAGTATCCCTGGATTAATAACCTAAGGTATCCCCTGTCTAAAATCGTAAAACAATGGTTGCTCGGTAAAGACCATAAAAACAAGTTAAATCATGTTAATTCAATGGTGCTTCGAATCCTCTCATCGCAGGGTCCAGTCTGGCCCAGGCAAAACACCTGGTCCTGAAAACCTCCTATTTAGTGGCTAGTGTTTTGTATGAATCAACTCCTGTAAGATGGTGTCACTTCCTGACCTGCAGGGGCAGTGGGATCGCTCCGGTTCGACCCCTCGGATGCTCCGGTTCCGCCTGTCGCAGGTCGAAGCCCAATCCGCCATCTTCGACCGCTTCGCACAGGTGCGGGTACATGGTCCGGTCCTGCGGACGGACTCCGGTCTGCAGGTGTTCCACTCCGGTCTGCGGGTGTCTGAATACCCCTTAAGGGGAAGGGTGGCCGTGTTGGGTCCGGAATCACCTCTGTGTCGGGTCCGACCCGTGCCATGCAGGGCCCCTTGGGCCCCCAGAAAGTCGGACAGGAATGTTACACCCATCAGTCTGTATACGACTGTTATTATGATGTTTCATGGTGCATGGCAATTACAGCCATTGGCCCACAAATTCAAGCAAAACCTACCGGGAACTCCTGAGTTCTAAACACTTCATTTTGCCGATCTACTCTGTGCGCAAAGAAGGGCTCCACTCTCCCCCTGTCGACGAACGAACGCGTCCTCTGCGATGGTCTTGGCATTGGGTTCCAACTGGTGAATGAGCGCATTCGCTTGCATGAGGTATTGGATGCCAGCCTGTCGTGGCTCAAACCGGTGCGAAACCAAAACCATCCGATCATAGGAGTGGCGTATATTGGGTGTGTTTCTCCAATGGTTTCTGAACCCAGGGAGTTTTGGACGTTTGGGGCATTGACCTTGACCTGTTTCAATTGGACGAGTTGGAAAAATAGACGTACGATGATACAAAACTTGTCACAAACACCTTCAGCCTTCAGCTGTGTGCGAGCGAGCATCTCTTGTCCTCTTGACACCTTGGCCTGTCTCGTCCACCGCACACGAAAAGGTTTGGGGTTTCCCCGATGTCCTCTTTGATCACCTCTTGTTGTGGGCCTCGGGTCTTTGCTGCAAAGAAGCAAAGACCAGTGCCCGGTGCCCCGGTGACCGGACCACAGGTGCGGGGCCAGCGGCATCCGCCTTCTCGGTGTTTTCGTCATTCTCCAAGTATTCTTCCAACTCGGAAGGCTCCGGCACCCACCTCGAAAAAAAACGGTTGGTCGAGTCTTCTCGGCCGGAAAAAAGAAAGAAGCGGCTTTGCTTTCGGTCGAGAAGAAACCCCAGTTCACCGCAGAAGACATGGAACTTCCGCCAATCACACTCAAACGGCATCCGCCTTCGATTCAAAAGTGAATTACAGTGGAACCATGGCCCTTCCGCACGGGAACAAGCGGATCACTCCCTCGGGAGACGATGGGGAGGCCGTAGGGTTACAATGGTTACATCTCCAGCGAAAGACTGGGGACGATGCACGCAATACGTGCGGACAGATTCGTCAACAACGCATCTTGGAACCAACAAATTATTTTTGGGGGGGGGACATGACGTGACATGTTGAACGTTTCTCCCACCTTATCTTTTTAAAGACTTGAGGCCAAGGGGGGGGCGAAAGCTAGCGCTCCAGAATGGGAAAGTGGAGGGCAGCGAGGTAGGAAAAAACACGGCGCTCTTTTTGGAGGCAGGGGTGAAGAGTCCTTTATATGTGGCTCTTTGCCCGGATCCTCCTGCGAGAGAAGAGAGAGAAGAGAGACGGAAAGACGAGAGACAGAGAGGAGAGAGAGAGAGAGAGAGGAGAGAGAGATGAGAGAGATGAGAAAGAGATGAGAGAGATGAGAGAGATGAGAGAGACAGTGAGACAGTGAGAGAGTGAGAGTGAGAGTGAGCGAGTGCGGCCGCAAGATACGCAACGCTAACCGCATGCCAAAGAGCGACGACAGGACGGAGTCGAACTTGCGAAGAGGGAGGAGGGAGGGAGGGAAGATGGGAGGAAGACAAGGAGGAGGAGAGGGGGGGAGGTGGGGAGAGGGGAGGTGGGGAGAGGGGAGGTGGGGAGAGGGGAGGTGGGGAGAGGGGGGGGGGTCTTCGACCTGAAAAATCAGGGGTTAGGATTTGCACCCGGTCGAAAGAAACCTTGCTATCGCAAGAGTAACTCCAGCTAGCTTCGCTAGCTTTCGTGAAAAACACATCACAATCACATGTTTGTTTAGCTATAATAAATAATATTGTATACACATCTTTGTCTTTGACCTTCTTAAAGAACTGTGACGAAGCTCCCCAGCTGTCAGTTGTAGGACGGCGCATCGCCTGCCGCAGTCCAGGTAGATCATGGAGGCGATATCGATGAACCTCCGGAATGATTTCACTGCGTCTGACTGGTGCTTAGTAGGGAATGAGGAAATGATCCCCCACTACAGATTCCTTAGGATCCATTCCCTCATTCCCTACGTAATTAAGCACAAGTAAAGGCATGTGTCTGAAGAGATGTGGACACCGAAAGACTCCGGCAAGTAAGGGTTTTTTCGAGGGAACTGGATGGACACCCCATGGCACCCAGGGGAAATAGTGACCACAAAGAATGAAATCGATGAACGAACAGTGAATGAAGATACGCTTGAGGCTTGAGAGATCACCCGTGGCACTTCGTGGTTTTGCGGTTTTGATTCAAAACATTTAAATACACCTCTGCCGGTTCTTTCTGTGGCGTCAAAATCCCCTGTGAACTATGATGTAAAGAATCCGCAAGAAGCCACCCCGGTGTACTTAAACAAGCATTAAACTGCTATGCGACAAGAACAATGTGCTTCTGGTGAGTCTGAGGCCATTCTCTGCCATTTGCTCAAAGGAGGACCCCACTTGCCGATCGAGATTTCACCTGGCACAGCCTGGCATCTACCCGTCAACATCAAATCACACAAATTTAAATCAATTCTTAATTCTTGATGATGATCGTTGCAGCTTCGGGTTATCATGACCCTCGGGGGGAAAACTGTAGACTTCGTGCTCGGAAGTCATGCAGCAAAACACCAGACCCTCAGGTCCAGTACTGCCAGCTATCTTTTTTGCCGATGGCCATCCTGAGCAAACCCACCGGCCACACCAACCATATCACACCACCCGGCCTGAAGCCATCAATGCCAAATTGGTTCATCCAGAAGGCAATGCTGGCAAGGAGGTATCGGGTCACCTGTACAGGAAGGTGAGAAGAGACAGAGTGACGTCGAGAGATGGACCACTATGCTTTAAAAGCCTTGAAATGCTTTGAACATGACTTGCTCCGCCGGCAATGTCCCCAAGAACCTCCAATTGCGACGTCCCCCGCGCCACGGTGGTTCCGAACCCGCGCCACACGTGGCCGACGTTGCGTGGATGGGTGGTTCTCCATGTCATGAAAACCCACCAGCAGGATCCAGAAGGTGTTTCTGGTGTAAGATGTGTAAGTTCCCGCCATGAACACACTGGAAAATTAACTGTGTTCGAACATGTGCTCTCCTGGGCATGACTCACACCTCGTGCTCGGTGTAGTTGTACATCCGCGCGCCGGTGATGGGATGGAAGCCCTGCCTCGGCCCAACGAGGCAGGGACCCAAAGACCTCTGAGGATATCTTGGTGTCTCAAACAATTCAGCAAGTGAATTCTTGGGTGTGTCATAGGATATGCCCATTTTTTTCAACGATGGAGTCGACACCGCCCGATCGAGGAGAGTCGGCAAGTGTGTTTCAGACTGGTTGGGGATCTGACCGGCCGAAGTGACCCTATAGTTTTCGGGGCGCTCCTAACAGGGAATGACATACCTTGGAGCTGCTTGGATCCTGAAGATCAACGCCTCCGCTCCAAAAACCAAACCAGTTGATATCAGTCGCTGCAAACATGCTGCTGACATCTGATGTCGGGTAAACATGGATCTGGTGAAGTGTGCCTTCGCTGCCAAGGAGCTCTCCCCACAAGAAGAATTGCCCTGCAAGCCCGTCCTGAAGTCGTCGCGTAACTAAGAGATGCATTTGGTGGCGAAACGACTCCCGGCCCCCGGGAGTAAACACCTTCACACCATGGTGGAAGTCCAAACGACTTCGAAACACCCAGTGGTTCGAACGTGGCTTTGATCGGTCGTTGTAAACACATGCAAACACCATGCGTGCATGTGATGGCGTTGAGTAACCAGGTGCTGATCACCCCTTTGGTGAGAACATGTGAGAACTTAGACACTTACTTCGTGAACACGTAATGTTCCTTCATGTTCCTTTCAGTGATGTGTTTGCTTAAACAATAGCTCCAACAACCATTCGCAGTCCTGACAATGATCAATGCCACAAAAATCCGTGCAACCCCCCACAAAAAAAGAAAACATGCAAAAGCTCTGATTCCCAGATCACCCCACCTTTCAACTGAACAGCACACCAGGTGGGTGCATCACACTGACATCACACACCGCCGTGACCGATCGCCGTGAAGGGATCCGGTGCGCGCCGCGCCGCGCCGTGACTCGCCTCCGCGGAGGCGGCGCCATTGTGGGGGAGATCCATGTAGACCTGCAGCCCTAAGCGATGCGCCTGCAGCACCAGGTTCCGCAACTCCTGCCGGTTGCGGACAGTCGACCCCCGAGGACATGCGAGGACCCCCAGCGTTGCGGGTGTCAGCAAAGGAAGGTGTACAGTTTAAGGTGAACCTCCCTGGTGAAAGGTTGACGTGCTTGGAACTCGGCGAAGCTTTTTGGGGTCGATTTGTTCCGGTCTTGGTGGAAAACACCGAGTGCACCCCCCAGGAAAACCGCTTCGTCGAAGTCCAAGTCAACTTGGGTCCCAAACTATTCGGGACTGGACAAAGGCCACTTCTGGAGGGGAGGACATAATGGACTTCGTGGTTCACCATGGTTCACCATGGTTCACCCATCATCCTCCCGCATCATCCTCACGAGTTCCATATTTCTTCTTTCTCCGCTTCTTCTTCGGTCGACCGGGCTTTCGACCGAAGGCTTTTGAAGGTTCAAGAGCTTCAGGTTCGGGCTTGAGGATGGAAGGAAGCTTCAGGGCGGAACAGCTTCAGGTTCCGCTCCACTCCATCGCCGAGGTGTCGGACCCGCGGTGACGGTGACCGACACGCGGATCCCACGCGCGAGGCCCCCCGGTGTGACTCCTCCGTGGTGCCCAGATGTTGGGACAGTGCGAAGAGGCTCACAGGTTGGCTGCCCAGGGTGGCAGGCTCCTGTGGTCTGGACTCCGAGATCACCATGAAAACCGGGGAGTTGGGACGTTTTCCTTTGGAGGGGAATCTGTAGTATCTGTATATTTTGTTATTGTATGTTATTGTCAGTTCTCTTTTTCCCCCGTGTGGGTGGGACATCAGTTGAAAACAGGCAGGGATCGGATTTAATTAATGTGGAGAAGAGCAATGAAGGCCTTGGCAAACAACGTTCCTCTGAAAAGGTATGTTGCTTCGTGTTCCTGGAAAGGTGTGAAGGACACAACACACATCCTCAAAATTCATCCTCTGGTCGAATGCTAGGCCACAGATCGAAAGGCTTGCGAACACCAATAGCTTCACTTCAAACCTTCAACTGGCTGACTGCTTGAGGGTAAATGATGCGCCTTCTTACTGGCGGGACTTCAGGACCACTGCCACTACCACTGGCATGGTCTACCAATTTGAGTGATCACCAGCACCTTAGACCCCCAACAAATCCTTCCGATCGTTCAGTCAAGCCTTCGAAAAGCAATCATTTATGATAGCCAGCTGTTCCGTTCGAACGTCCACTGAATTCAGAACGTTCAGAGCATTCCTCCAAATGATCCATTCATCACTTCATCGTGAACGATGCAAAGGACCAGACCTTCGAAGACCTTCGAAGACCTCCCATGGATGCTCTTGGATCGATCTTGCAACGAATCCACCAACTTCCCCGGTGCTTCCGTGCCGGGTCCGAGCTACCTACGCATGAGCGACTCGTGAGCTCCGGCACTGCCCCCGGTGCGCCTTGCATTCCAAAAGACCCACCAGCTGCAGGGCATTGTAGCCTCACAAAGGAACCCGGCCAGGGTGGTTGATAGACCTCGGAGCCTTGAAATCCAGCCAATTTGTTGGTATGACCCGTGGTTCTTGCATCCCCCCCCTCCCCAACCCCCCCCCCCCCCCCCGGGCCGTTGCGCGCGATGCGCGGCAGCAGGTCCAAGGTCCTGGGCCCGCGACAGCAGGTGCAGCGAAACGGTGGACCAAACAAAGGGAGGTGCGTTCGAACGGGAAATTGCTCCAAAACAGCTGCTAAGTATTGCTATAAGTTCATGTTCCTGCGCATGTTCCAGGTTGGTTTTGTGGAGAACTTTGAACCTCAATGATCTGTTTCAGCCACTCGAAGTGGGGTGTTTCCGAATCATCCAGTAGCATCGTTGCAGGGACATGCTGATACATTCTTGGTACATCTTGGTACCATTGTGTCCCACGAAATGGAATTGACCTGATCATGTCCGATATTCTATTCAGAATGATTATGATTTGTACTGATTTGCACGATATTGTCAATATTGTACAATAACCGGCTGATGCGAAGAATGGACTGCACCTGATCATATGAGTGGCATACGATTAATACGTGGCTGATATGTCCCACCATTCTGGGAACATATTCAGCTCTTACACAAGGAGCCCATTCCAAGTATGGTGTTCTCCAAGACTAGGAACAAGAACCTAGCAGCTAGTAGCTCCTGGCATCACTACTAGTAGCAAGGACGCTACTAGTAGCAGGGGCATCGCTACTAGTAACGAGGCATCGCTACTAGTATAGCAAGAAGCTACGAACGTAGCTCCTGAGTCCCTGGGATGTTGTTTTTCTGACCATGCTGGAACCACCGCCGGCATCGAAGGACTGTACGGGCATGCACGGGGCCCCCAGCTCCACCAAAGGCGAAGTGGTACTAGCCTTGCTGACTAGCCCAGGATGACACTCATAGATTCGAATACCACCTGCAGGTGGAGAGACGCATGACAGGTCTGCAGTGATCTGTTAGTATCTCTTGCATCGAGATAAGAACATCATTGCAAGAGCGGCAGCCGTTCCCCTTCTTCCAAGCACTGGCCAGCTGATAGAACGGACGATGGACCGTTTTCTCATCAACGAACTCATGTCAATGATGTCAATGTAACGCAGCGTTGGCTCAAACATAGGGTACTACCCAAACGCCCTGAGAACCACATGAAGTCGGTGACGTTTCTTCGCCGGCTTCCACCACCCCCGCAGAGGTGGAAGAATGAAATGCAAAACTATCATCCTTCCTTAGCCTGAAGGATCAGCAAAAGGATCAGATGCCAAAAGGTTCAAAGTAGTTCAAAGGTTCAAAGGTTGGGCTCACAGGGTACCTCTGGTTGGTTTTACCTGTGATGAAAGTGCTGCACATGTGGAGGTTGCCTGCATGGCCTTCGCCAAGGTCGATAGCCATTCCTGATCACGATACAACATAGTCGCCATGTGGATCGGATCAAGTTGATCAACCGTGGGAATCACTGTCTTAGTTTACACAAACAATTCCTGTCTTAAAAAAAAGCCAATTCGTGAGTCCTGTGTCTGCCCTCCCCCGGACCCCCTTCCGGCGTGAACGCCACGCACAGCGCCTTGCTGCATCTCGTTGGTCACCTCCAATCGTCCGGGGCCGCTACCGTCCACCACGTGCACCACCGCGTCCAAGAGCCTGGCAGCACCCCGCGTCCGTTGCGTCACCCTCCAGGTTCTCTCGAACGGCTTCCGGGAGAAAAAGATCGAGTTCCACAGCACAGCTTCGGGTTCTTACCCCCCCGAAGCTGTCGTTCCACGTCGATAGGGCGGGCCGAGTCGGAAGTCCGACGTTTTCGTGACGGAGAAAGGACTCGAAGCCGGGCACCGGAGCATGTACTCTGAATCATACCGGGCACCCGCGCTTCATTTCGTTGGGCCCCACGAAGCGTGTGGCCCATGCCGGCATGGCGTAGTAGGCATCACCCTCCTGGCCCAGTGCGCGACAGCGCAGTGCGCGACAGCGCAGGGGGAAGTGGCCGCCTGTGCACCGCCTAACACAACAAAAAAGGGTGGGAACACCCACCCAAAAACAGAATAAGTAGTCTTGGTACTACCTGGTAGTCATCTACCTTCAACAGGGGGCCACCCTGTTATAGGAGTCATATCGAATCAAACACTGAACATGAACCCCGGGGCTTGATTGATAATGATTCAAGTTCGAAGCAGGTACGATATGGTACGATCAGGTTCCATAATATGTATGATATGTAACATGTATGTTGTGGTGATCCCTAGGAAATGATGTCCACCTTTGGTTCGCAAAAACCGTCAAGGAGTAGTGTTTCCATGTGTGTCCTTTTGATCTGTTTGCATTTTTTGTGCCCGGTAGAGCCGGGTAGAGCAACATAGAGACCTCCCCGGTCAACCCGCAGCACGGCCCCGGTGCAGCACCTCTGGAACGACGTAGAGCTTGTACTTGCTGCCCACGGTGAGCTTGGTGGTGGATGGCAAGGTGGCACTCCACACGTCTGGCAGATCTGGGGACTCCTGGGCCAATGGAGTAGCAGCCGTATCCCATCCATTGAAGTCTCCAACCAAGAAGACCTGCTTGGCAAAGGGCATCCACTCACAATAGGTCCACATTCCACCACTCTTCTGCAAGCCAAAAGTCCGGTAACTCTCGGAGATCTGGGCCAAGTCGCCTCCACAAGCAGCCAAATTCTCTTGAAAGTTCGCCATCCTCATCTTGGTCTGTTCCAAATCTGAGACTTGCTCTCCTTGCGTCTCCCTCAGGGCCGCATCTAAGGCCTCACTATCCATGAAGTGCAGCCCGGAATAGCACCGTGTCATGTCCCGCACATCGACCCCGGCTTCTTCCGGCTTCGCCTCTTCCTTCACCTCCACGGTGCCCGGTGCCGGCGCCGCCACCGGCGATCCCACCGGCGAGGCGTCGACGGCCGGCGCGGGAGCCGCGGCCACCGCGGGCGCGGGGCTCGGCGCCGCCGAAATGGGCGCCGTCTGCGCCTTGGGCTTCGCGTAGCCCTTGGTCGCCACCTTGGCCACTGGCTTCGGTGGCTTGTCGGCGTCCTCGGCAGGCTGGCCGTTCCGCAAGTAGCCCAGGTGCGCCACGGTGTATTCGCCGGGGAAGAAGACGCGGAACTTGGTGTCTTTCGAGCACTTGCAGGGCAGGATCATGTCCTCGCCCGTGACGATATCGAAGGTGGCATCCCAATTGTCGGCGAGGTGCACGCAGCCATCCACGAATGGGAAGTCAATCATCTCTTCGACCCCATCTTTGGTCGCAAGCAAGGACAGCTTCAAGCCATCGGCAGACTTGATCTCATACTGTGACAAAAAGCTTTCCTCGACCTGTTGTGAGAAGGATGAATCATGATGAATCGTTGACAAGCCAAGCAAGACACATACATTCATATATAATTACAGAAACTAAAGGCAAATCTGAGAGGCAGGCATGAATTTTCACTCCTCCTTGAAGCAAGCTCTCCCTGCGGCAAAAGCAGGACTGCACAATTGCGTTGACATGCTTTGACCAAAAGCCGCAACAAAGCTCGCCTGCAAAGAACTTGTGCCGTCCGAGCTGGCATGTAGAGCCTTGGAAAACAAAATCTTGAAACCGGACACGTTCACCTCTTTTCGAACTTGCATGACCTTGCTATCTCCCTCTCCAACCCTCCTCTCTCCGTCTGTTCCTCTCTCTCTCTCGCTCTGACTGCACTCTGAAATCGAAACAAGTGGCTTCACAGAATGTGGACGACGGTCAATCCCACCCATGGAAGAAAAGGGATTGCCATGGCCGTAGTCAAGACCTCAGCACGTGCACCCTGAATGATCAACCATGATCAACCCCTCTGCACGCTGGACATCAGTTGAAGCAACGAAATCCTCCATACTTCACAGCTTTCGTGATCAAGTTGGAGTTCTTGTCGGACGTGTTTGGAACCCAGCAGATCAACTTCTTCCACTCTGAGGTCCTGAACGCATATGACCTCCGAAGCGGCCTTCGTCGGTGTCCAGGATGCAGCGCATGGACTCCTCCTGGTTTCGCGCATGCGGAAGACTGGCAAAACCCTCGACTCGGGACCCAGTCGAAAACACGCAGAAGTCGATTCTTGACTTTCGATGTGTCTCAATGTGTGGATCATGACTCTCTCTCTCTCTCTCTGTCTCTGCTCTCTATCTATCTACCTATCAGGACCTATCTGGGCCTATCTGTCTATCTACCTCCGTACTTACGTACCTACCTACCTACTGACCTACTGGCCTGACCGGACAGGACCTGACCTGACCCAACCTAACCTGACCTAACCTACCCTACCTACCTACCTACCTACCTTCTCTCTCGTGTTGTATCTGAGCATCTGTCTATAATAGTTGATTCATTTTGCACATGCAGAATCTCTGCAGGTCGCACGCCCAGCTCTCTTCGCTCTTTCTCGTCTCTCGTCCCCTCCCTCGGCGCCGCACACAATGGGTGCCGATCTGGTATCCCTCGTAGCTGTTGCAGGGGTGGAAGTTGAAGGCCTGGGAGGCAGAGCAAGCCAGGCGGAGATCATCCTCATCGTAAGAGGCATGGCCCTGTGAATCTAGTGTCACCATGTGTCACCCGCAGCAATGTAGTTTAATGAGGCGTCTCACGCCTCCTGCACACCCATCTTCATCATTCTTCATTATCTCTTTAAAAACGTTTTACGAGGAAGTTCAAAGGGTGGTGTTTAGTCCCATCCAGTGAGGGGATGTGACAGGGGCACCCCGACTACCTCCATTCTTTGTACCAAACGATCTACCTCGTCACAGCCACTTGGACTTCCCCATCAGTCCGTTGCGCCGAGAGACGAAGACCAAATCGCCCCGTTCGAAAATGATGACCTGCACCGGGTACCGAAGCAGAGTCTGAACAGGGTGGAAGCCTCAGACTAGCGTGCTTGCTGTTCAAAGCGATGAAAGAAAATCTATGATCATTTGACAGTGCAAAGCATGGATTAGGTGATCAATTTCTACCTAAATCCTGGAACTCGAGATGCGTCCTGAGATTCAACAAAAGTCTCTCCAGGACTCCAGCGTTGCCAGCACCGCAGCAACGTCGATTCCCTCGCGCGCCTTGTCGTTCTCATCCTTCTTACTGACATACTGGTGGGTGGCATTGACAAATTGGAAGCGATTTTCACAGGCCTGGCCAAGAACAAAGAAAACACCCACATGAAGGATGTAGGATGGCTAGATTTCCCTGCCCCAAAAAAAAATATTGGGTCAACATTGTCTCCAAACTGCAGCCACTCCAAATCTTTGGCACAAATATCTCAGCAACCCTACATGGTCGGAAGGGTCTGTGCTGTTGAAGTTGTTCACATGGTCAATGCTCTTTTCGTGCCGCGGGTTGTTCTTCGGTGTTGCCTGCATGAGTTCCTCGAAATTTTGGAAGAACTTGTAGCGCAACAAGCCGTCCTCTGGTAAATCCCAGCCTCAGAGTCATGGCGGAGAAGCCTCGAGTCCCAGCCCAGGAAAGTGGGGGATGAGATAAAATCAAATCTGCCAAGAAGAGCAGGAATAAGTAGGAGAGGTAATGACAGGCATTCTGTATCCCTCCTACAGTACTGGTGTAGGATGTCACTTTTCTTTAAGATATTCCTTTTAGAAGGGGGAGCCGCTTTGGAGTGGATCGCTCATCTTGAGAAGTCTACCTCCATCTACCTCTATCATTCTCTATCTAAGGTCCTCTTCTTGGACTACTCCACCCACATTTTGTGATCTCACACTCCAACGGACTCCAACCCCTTCACATATGCAAGATTGACTCCAACCCCCGCACTCCACCCACATATGATCCCCACCCCCAATCCCACCATTTTACCCTACACTGCTTATGGACCTCCGGCCAGGACACCCAGATGATCGCTCTCCGTCACCAGGCTCCCGCGCGACGCCGGCAGTGGTGGTGGCTCCAGCCGTTCTCCGGTCGTGGGAAGTCAATCCACTCCGGATGGCCGAATTCGTTGCCCATGAAGTTCAAGTATCCCTGCGATCGCAAGAATTCCAGACAAGGAATTAGAAAACCGTAGTTGTATGTAAACTGTTGATATCTACCAAAGAAGGATATGCCGATAGTAGGAAATGGGAAGTACTTTGCACCCTTCACCTACCAGAACGCCTCGCCGCCCATGGATTGGTCCAAGCCTCGCCGCCCAAGGACAAAACGATGAGCCGGATCATCTTGTGCAGCCTGGGCCCATGCGGTGATTCTGGATACATCAAGACTGAAGTGTAGTGTAGATCAAAACCAGGAGACATTGGCTGACCTACCTGTAAGATCAAGCTCAATGGTGGACCAGGGCTCCAGGTGGACTGACTCAGCCCCATATGAAGTGTTCTGCTTCTGCTGCTGCTGCTGCCGCCGTTGTTGTTGGCTTTTCCAGAACAAATCGGTTAGGGTGTTGCTCTAACATGTTCTCTTTAGGAGTGTTTTGTAACGTTACCTTGCCTAGATTGTCATCTTATGCTGTCCAAATTGTAACAATATTGTCACCTTATGCCGTCCAAATTGTAACGTTAACTTTGCTGAGATTGTAACGTTATGGAGTCCAAATTGTAGCGTTAATTTTGCTGAGATTGTAACGTTACGCGGTCCGAATTAGAACGTTATTTGAAATTGGAGGTGCGCCAAGCATGGTACTCATTAAGCATTTGCTTTTGTTTTTTAGATTTTTGCGTTACAGCTGTGCCGAACGCCTGAAGAATCCTCCATGTGCATGCTTCGTTCACAACCATCCCAAGTAGCTCACGCAAGGTCGTCACAAACCTTTGAGTGCCAGACGCCAGGCCACGATCAACGCACATGGAAGGGAACGGGCTGGTGAAGCAACTCATCCCAGTGTACCTCCAAATCACAGCTTCTTACCCAAATGAACCTTCTACCCATGCAGGCCCCTCTAATCACACACCAGTGGAACAGAAAAGAAATAGCAGAAACCTCTTGGAAACACATGGAAAAACTCCATCAAAAACCTGCGGCTTCAATGCGTCTTTCTTATCTGTTTTCTTTTTTCGGCCTTTGACAATTCATCCTTCGCCGATCATCAGCACCAAAAATACAGCCGTCCATCCCGGAGGCACATCTCCGCGTCCATGAGCCAGAACGCCAAGGTCTTGTCGCCCACGATCGCCTGATCGTGGGACTCCGCGTAGGCGATCACCTGTACGCGAGGGAAACCGGTCCCAACAGCTCGGTCCGGCTCACTTCAGCGGCAAATGATCAACAGTGGATTTCTATCTATTTACATGATATGTATATAATTTTGCATAACATATATTATATATGCTAGCCCCAAAAAAAAACACAACCTGGTTTTAGTTTATCTCGAAGTTCGTTCCAATTTTCTATGTTTGATACACTTCTAAATTTCCCAATTTATTTGTAATTAATTTTTAGTTTCAGCTAGTTTAAATCTTATACAAGTCAATTTCAGTTGTTTTACAATTCTAGTTGACTTCTATCTTGATTTCCAATTGGATGTTGCTCAATTCTAGTCTAATTTAATTCGATTCTAGTTCAATGCAACTAGTTCAATGCAAATTGAATTCTTACTTAATTCTACCTTTATTCTAGAGAGGGTGTTGCTGGGGGTGCGATTTTAAGAAAGCAACCTTTAAGAAAGCAACACAGGAATTATATACAAAGCTTTCATTTTAAACAGCAACACGTACTCTAGAAGCAAATTAGAATTGCATAAAAGCCAAAATTAGATTGGAAAAAATATAACTATATTGGGTTTAAACATAAACTGCATAGAAATTAAGTTGAAAAGAAGTATGAATTAAATAGAAAGACATTTGCATTGAGTTCCAATTACATTAAACTATATATGGAATTTACTCAACATTAACAGTCAATTGAGTGATAATTGAAGTCCTACATTACCTAATTCTAATTGAATCCAAACTCAAATCTAGTTAACTCTGCTGTTAATTCAATTTCTGAGTTTTAATGTTGAGTAACTTGTGCATTTTGGCTTTGAAGGTTTATTGTACTGTACTAGAATACTGCAAAAAAGTAAGCCTGTGTTTTTGTTTTTTTCAGTATTTGATGTTTGGTTTTTACTCATAGCAAGCAAGTCATCAAACACCAAAAGACAAAAGCCTTGGTTTTTGCTTTGATAGTCTTCTTCAACCATAAGCCTTCAAAAAACGAGCGACGTGGCAAAGCGTGTCCGCGAGTGATTGTACGCTGGTACGCTGGCGGTGGCTGGGTGTGCTGGTTGCGCTGGTTACGCTGATTACGCTGATTACGCTGGTTACGCTGTTTACGCTGGTTACGCTGACCACGCTGTTTACACCGGATACGCCGGTAACGGCTTCAACGGTGCAGACGGTGTAAACGGTGTAGACGATGCAGATGGTGTAAACTGTGTAGACGGTGTAAATGGTGTAGACGTTATAGACAGTGTAAATCGCTGTGTCCAGCAATGCAAAGAACAAAAAGAAGCATATATTTTTTGGTTTTTGGATTTCAAACCAAAACAATAGCGCAATGAACACCAAAAAGGCATCTTTTGAGGCTGAGCCAAACATTCTCCTCAAAGTGGTTTTTTTTGATGGTTTGTTGTTTTATTTTTTGGTTGTTTTGGATTGCTATTTTGTTGCTGGTTGTCATTGGGGACATATTTGTGTCTTATTTCAGTTGTTTTGTTCTTGTACAGTGCCTTGTTTTTATTAGACTTGTTTATACCCCAAAATATGCCCAAAACACCGCAAATACCAGTAAATTTGATGAAAAGGTGGTTTCTTTTTGGGGGGTTACCATATATTATGTATATATATGTATAAGCATACGTTACGTTCCATATTGCTTCGTAATATGTTGTACTTGCATGTCTTTGCGCTAGTTACTTTATTGCTTCTGTACGGCCTCAGCTTGAAAAACACGAAATCGCGCCTTCTCCATGTATCTCCTGTTGGTGAGCGTGTGGACCAAATGGCCCATGCCCCATCCATCATCCGTCGACTGCGGAAGTCCGCTTGTGCGGCATCGAAGACAGAACGGAAGTCCGCTTAGGAAGTTGCAAGCAATTCAGTTACAACCCCAAATCTCCTGTTTCTGAAGCCTTGAGAAGCTATTGCTCAGAGCTTTGATGGCGACTCGGCTCCCCTTTACCGTCTGGCTCACCCTCCTACTGGCTACCCGCCCTCGTTGCAATGGACACCGACCTGCTTTCGGAGAAACCGGTCCTACAATCTCAAACTGGTAATAATTGGTAGATGGCTACACCTGCATAGAGGCAGACCTTCAGAACATGTGCGGAGATATGGATCATGACGGATCACAAGTGTTTCTTTCGAGTCAGGAGTGTACGTGTCCCAAAAGTTGCCGAAATCATCTTGAAATCTGTCCACGTCCCTCGCCGTGCATGAATGTTTGTTTGACGGAGACTCTCATGCAAGTCAATGCTGGTTCCATCAAATCAAGCAAATTTGTAGATGTTGGTCCAAAAGTCAGTTCCAGCTAAGAACCAACACTTGTGATGATCCCTTGGTCTGTAACAATAAGCACAAACACTGGCACAAAAAAAGCACAGTGGAAACCTGGAAAACAACTAATTTTATCACAGCCCAGCCCAGGGATTGTTGGACTCCATTGCGGATTGGGAAAAGACAGGACTGTTGGACTTCAACTGGAAGAAGTACATCCCCTTCAGGACTCTTGGCTCATGTTTTTTCAATTGGTTTAGTTTATATAGGCTGGCTAAAAACACTTGGGAATTTGAGCCAAGAGTTCTGAGGGGGGGTATACTGGAAGCCATTGGAAGTGGATGCTGACGTAACTGTTCCATATGCACTCCTGCCGATGCGCCATGCAAGCGCCGTCCAGTTCAGCACTCCTGCCTCTTTCAGGTACCTTGGTGACCAAACCAGAAGAGAGTCGGGCCAAAGCCGAAATCTCCGACACGCACAGCTTGCTTTACATGCTTTACTAAAGCTTTACTCTTTACCAAGAAACCTGCTCAGCATCCCCGAAAGCCTGTCGACTTTCTTGCCCCACAAAGGAGTCTTCTTAGCCCATTCCTCCAGGGCTTTCAATTACAGTATATCCAGGTTGAAGTTCATAGATGGAAGTGATATCTACTCACGATCTGGATCACCATGAACTCCAGGTTGTTTGGAGTTCATATCCTCACCATATCATACTCCGATCCAGCAGGTTGCTTGGAGTCTGTCGCCCGTGACTTGACTCCCTGGATGGGTCCAACCGCATCGGACTCCTGGATTCGTTTGTCCCGCGTCTCCCGGAACGTGCGACGACTTCCCAAGGGGGAGTCCGAGGCCAAGAAGGAAGCCGAGTGAGGAGACCCTGTTTGGGCACACCGTGGCACAACTGCCGAGAAATCTGGATCAAAGCTGGGGAGTCTGAGATTCCCAACCAAAGATCCTCCGTCGTTTTGGGCGGCGTCTTTTTCCCCAAAACGAGAACGTGCGAGAGCGAATCCTTAGGATTCAACATGCTGAAGATGTGGGACCTCATCTTCTTTGGACCGATGCCATTGGGGGCAAAAACCGCCCAAACCGGGAGTTGAGCCTGCGAGGCCCGTTGGTGCATCGAGATGCTTGATGAACATATCCGGAATGGCCATCGCCAAGCGGTAGTCAAAGCCTCTGTGCTCTCGCGGTCGATCATCAAGTGGTTAGGATCTTGGAGGGGACCAGTACTCACAAGTCTTGACACCCTCTTTGGGTATGTGTCCCTTTGATGTTCAGTCGCTCAATTGACCAACTGACCAAATGATGTCCTCACCGACACTGAGCTGGTGGCCGAATCCACCCCATTCCACAGGCAAGCACAAGGTTGGCATTCCACTCACATCCTGGAGAATACACTCTGACTCAAACATGGAAGGGGACTGCAGGTGTTTCGTCTACATACAACAAACAGGGGTTCATCATCAAGTTGGCTATATACATATGTCCTATTCAATTTCCTCCTCAATTGGGAACAGCTGGTGGCTGGATTCTGGATACTCTGAGTCGCAGCGTGGAGGACACTGGGCCGTCATCACGCTGCCCAAGCGGACGTCAACTTGCCCTGAACTCAATTTGTTTCTAGAGTCCAGACAGTCCGCTGTTGATATCGCCGATATCGCTTCATGAATCACGCATGTCCTAGGTGACTTGTGGCGCTCCATTCTTCCAACCATTGGCCCAAGTCCAAACAAGCTTTAGTTAGTTTGCCCAGGAGTCTTCCAAACGCCCAGGTGTTTGCTGGCTGTCTCCTCGCCCACAGTCACCGCAGATGGGACGACGCGGTGAATCAAGTCATTGGCCAGCATCAGGTAGATATGACCTACCAAACTCGAGGCAAGACCTATCTATCTAATGGGTTCCAGCCCCCATCTTGATAGGTGCACCGGGCCCTCATACTCCCTCAGCTGGTACCATTCAACGCTCCGACTGGGCGAGAAATCCTTGAACCAAGCGGAACCCTCACAGAACGCCAAGAAAGGACCCCAATACACCAAGAGTATCCAAGGGTCATCACTCCATCACCAAAACAAACAATTGAAACCCTTCAAGGTTTCACTCCATGTTTCCAAAGATCAATTCATGTCTTGGGGCGAAAAAAGAAGGATCCAGGGCGCAACGAAACCAGCGAAGGCAGCAATCATCATGGTAAGGATGTTCGTGAGGCCTAAGAGGTCAATATGCGTCAATGTTGCCTCAGCATCTCGTTAAGAAGTCCAGTCCAGTGACTCTGGATAAGTCCAGCTCCAGAGAATCAGAGTTGATCAGTTGATCTAACATCTCCCGAGAGTGATGCTCAAGACTTCAGTCTATCCACAACATGTCAGCCTCTCTTACCTACAAAGGAAACATTTATAGCAAACCTTCATTACTAGCTGGACAGCTTTGTGTGGACCCTTGCGGACCCCGGACCCCGCTTTTTCCCGGTCCCACGCACCCCACAGCTGAGGAGGGGACTGTCAATGTCAGCATCCGGTCCGAAGTATTCGTGAAATCCACCGGTGTATCCCTTTCCGATGCCGTGGGAATGGTACCTGGGATGGGAGGACGTTTTTTTCCGCTGTTTTCCGCTGGCTAGTCTTGCTTTTCTGATTGGCACCTTCTCGATCTACCAAGATGGTGGTTTGGATCACCTCCCGCGCTTCTCCATCAGCGTGCGCACGCCAAGCAAACGACTGAGCAAATCACCGACATCCCAAAACCCGATTCCGGAATCGTATTTCCATGTTTCTCCGAAAAAAAGGAAAGAATCCGAATGAACTCCACCTGTTCCTGCCTGTCAGCGGGGTGCTCCAAAAAATGTTCCAAACAGGTTCTTCGGGTTATCTAATTGGTTATCTAATTACAATGGGTGATTGGCACCCAATATGACCTGCCACCGCACAAGCCATGTCTCCTTCAACCAAACGCATCATTCACACCATCCTCAAACCCCACCCGATCAAACGCCCGCCTTTTTGCGCGGTCCAACGCCCTGCACGGATCTGCACGGTACCGTCTTGGTTCGTCGACCAAGGCGTCGGCGATGTCAGAGAGCGTCGAGCGTCACACCACTGCGATGTCACACCACTGCGTCGAGCGTGTTCGTCGCCTGTACATCACTGGTCGACTCGAAGCCCAACAACTGCCGCGCTCGCTCGATGTTCAGGTAGGGCCGCAGCAAAGACTGCAGCTCGCGTCGGAGGGCTACCTTCTGCAAGGCCCTCGGGATCGAGCCCCCCAACAAAAACACGTCAGAAAACGAAATCAACCTTTGATGAGACAAATGTCTGAGGAAAGCCATGCTGAAAGCCATGCTTTTCAGCCATGGAAATCTGCCCAAATCCATCCAAATATATCCAAATCCTACGATTGGTGGTGTGTGGTGGATCCACGAGGTCTCTTGGAGCATCAGCTGGTGGTGCCAGAGCTTCAGCACCACTGAAACACGATAAAAGAACCTTCCAAACTGCTTGGCCCATCTTGTCCCAGCCAGTCAGCCTTGTGATGGTTATGGCACGATCAGCCTGCTTTGGTTTGTTTACCCATATCTGGCGCCATACCCACGTCTTCACACCTAGTCTCTGACCGCAGCAACCACCCTGACCGCCCTGCCAAGGTACGAACAAGCATTTGGAAGACGTCTTTGCTAATGCATTGGATGATGCAGCGATGTATGTCTTAGAATAGAGAGACCCCTCATTTCGATGCTAAAAATGCCAAAGGAACCCCTTTTCAAAACAGAAACCGAAGGCCTCGACGTCCCCTTTTACCCCGTGTCCGAAGAAACGATAGAAACGGTCCGACGCGGCGCTGACACCGCCGACACCGACGCACCGCCTTGAGGGACAATGGTCAAAGATCCGCACCAAAGGACCTCCGCGAAGCGCCGACGCGGAGGTCGGCGAAGAAGTTTGTGTCTCTTCACAAACGGGAACATATGTTTTTGAAAAAAAAACACATGTATAGAGTCTAGAGTCCAAGAAGTTGCGAGACCAAATTTCATCGGATCGAGAGCAACTTAAAGATCAACAAACATTCTGAGTCCTGGTTCCGGTCCAATTTGATCTTTAAAAGGAAATTCACTCTCATCTATTGCCTTTGGGGGTGAGTCAAAAGCCAATGTGTGACCAAGGCAGCCCATATTATGTGGGTGTCACTAAAACAAAACTGTGGCTTTCTGAATGAAAAAGATAATGCAAGACTGCATCCCCTTGAAACTTGTGCCTGTACCAAGACCCACAAGGGGTGGTTAATGGACACCCCTTAACATCTAAGGGGCTATCAATAGAAGCCCCTTAGGGTGTCCCGGTATATATATATATATACGTATATATATATATATATTTAATTTGTTGTTTTATAGTGGAATAAAATGCATCCCATTTCTTGCAAGAAATACGTACTTCTGATCTGCTGGCAAGAAAGCACGGTCTCTCACCCTGTTCAGACCTCAAAAAGTCGTCCGTGATTGTTGTTTTCCAGAAGAACTTTTAAGTTCAGACATCCTTTACGTGTTGATGTAAAAAATCATACCTTTCACCCTCCAAGCATTTTGTCCAGCCTCTGGGTGTCGCACCCGCCAGGAAGAGGTCGGGATGAGGAACCAGCCTGACCTGGCCCTCGATGGGGCACTGCTGCCGGAGCCAAGCACTCACTGGCAGTCCACGAGGTGCCAGAGCCCCCAAGGGCTGGGAGCCATAGGCGAAGGCGTCTACCACGGAGTCGTGGAGGAAGATTTGCAAAACCTGACCCAAAGCCTCAGACGAAAACATGCCTTCGTCCGGGGGAGGTGATCCATGTGTTCAACTGTTCCGGGGGCAGTCCGGACATGGGATTTGCCAACTCAAATAGCAAGTCTGCCCGTGTCCGTAGCCAGCAACCTGGGCATTTGGGATGACCCTTGACTTGGGGTCTCAAGCAACAGACACATAAAACCGCCGCACAGGACGACCTCTTGAGCTGCTCCGCGCCTCCAAGCCCTGTGCTTTGCCAGCTGCCAGGATTCTTGACCGCAGGGTGGGAATCACATCAGGCTGATCAATGCCTACGGCAGAGAGCAAATCATCAATCAGTTTCTTCACATAGTTGCTGGTGCCGCTCGGAAAGCCCTGCATCATATACCGCTGCATGCTGCGAGTGTATCCTCCACTGGCGAAGCATGAAGAGAAGGCCGACACCGCCAACGCGCGGTACTCGTGCGCGTGATCGCTGATGTTATGATCACGGATGGACAGTACCTCGGAAAGCGAACGGATGTCTCCAAAGGCTCTGCGTGAGAGCCGCATCACTGGTGGCCCAGCCAATGGATAGTCCAAGAGTTCGTTCGCCAAAGCAGTTTGAAGCTCGTACAGGACACTGGAGAGTGCCTCAGGTTGGCATTCCCCATTCTAGGCTCGAAAGGGGTATCCATTCCTCTTGGTCAAATTTGCCAGGGGGTGCCAGGGGCATCTTTCAAAATGCACCTCGAAAGATCAACTTGATCCATTTGGCTGAGAAGAATTCCACTCACCACTCCCCCAAGACTCTTGTGTTTAAAGCACCAAACACACCCTCCCCGGGGAAGAAGACCAGTGTCATCCGCAGCGATGGGAAATCAGCAGCTCCAATGATTTATCTCAAGAGGACACCTCGTCCTACCTGTAGGAAACGGTAGGATGGTCTGCCCAACGTGACTAAGCTACATGGTGCTGGTTTTGACCCATCCCCATACACATCCGTATAATTCCGTATACCTATTGGCCTATTGGCCCTATTCTACACTTCCACAATCTTCAACATTCTTCGAGACATGCGGTTGATGTCCTCTGTCAACCAGCCAGTCGAGTAAGGCGGATGTATAAGGCAATCAATCAGAGAGGACAATAAAAAGCAGAAGACAAAGGTGACATGTTCGAGTTTCAGACCGGTCGAAGCAGATTTCTACCCCTCGAGACCGTGTCCAGATCTTCCACTTGGCGGCATAGAGATGGTAGAAGACCACATAGCCTTCACTGGCCCAGCGCTTCTCGTTCTCCAGCATTTCATGGATCACACCACTGGCTCTGCAGCGCAAGGGTCTCTTCACCGATCGGAGGAAGTCTTTTAGGATGGCCTGTGAACACTCCAGGGTTAGGACTCCCGAGCAAAATTGAGCAAACACATCACCGACATCCACCCACCTGACTCGCCTGACCTCCCGAGCTGCTTTGCTGGAAACATAGTGAACCGAACGAACTCCAGCTGTTCCTTTCCTGTTGAGTGGGGCGTCGCCAATTCTGCAAGGTTTTCCGGGTCCTCCTCCGACGTAATGCAAAGAGTGAACGGGATTCCACAGGGTTCAGGCGGAAGGAAGGGAAGAACCGATTTGTTCGAATGATTGGTTTCGTCTTCTTCGGATCACACATTCCATGGATGTCCATGGTACGAAAGTCCAGTCGAATTCCCCACAAAGTCCATTCCAGGCGCTCAGCCGAGTTGCAAACTAAGGGTAGCGGGAAGTCAACTGGTTTTCTGGGGCTCCCGGTCCTCTCCCGTTCGGCATCCCGGTCCGTTGCGCCACCGGCGTATCCCGCTCCGTCCCTGAGAGCGGGGTCCGTTCAGTCCGAGCGCGGGGTCCCAGAGCGATGTGGAGTCGAACGTGGCGCGCTTTCAGCGGTTCGATGGCAGTGGAGCGATAGAGGTTCGATGGGCACCGGATTGGGGTCCGGTCCAGACGACTGGGGGATTGTGCCATCTACTCTCAATCCACGAAAAAACGTAGGCTGGTGGTGCATGAAACTGGCCACTGACACAAGAATGTGCTGTTGCTATCTGTTGCTAGCGCGGCAAAAAACTGTTCCTGAACAGCTCTCAAGATGGTCTTGGTGTTCTAGATTTTTAGGGGGCTCTCTGTTGATGTGCCATTGGCCTTCATATCTGCACGCCCTTGCAAGGAGGGCGTTGAGGCATAGAGCGCCCAGTGCTCTTCCTTCATCTCATCAAAAACCCGTTGGCTCGCATCCACAAAGACGTTGCAGCTGTTGAGGCCATGCTCCGGGTTTGCCCCCACCTGCCAGCTCAGCTTGGGGAGAGCGCTTGCAGAACGAATCGTCCAAGGAGAGTGCCTGAGATATGCTGCAAAGGATGTTTCTATTGGCAAAAAAAAATACATTTCCCGCAAACCACCAAGGTTGCACGTCCAATCTTCCATGGGTGATGACTTGGTTGCATACTTGGTTGCTGCCGAGCCCTGGGGAGCCCTGTTGTTTCTCTGTGAGTCACAAAGAAAGGTTTCAGTTGTTGACTGTTCAAGAAAGGATTCCACCTGAAACACAGTACATGGCTAGGCTTAGCGACGTGATTGTTCCGTGATGAGGTCCTCAGAATGATGTTCGACCAGGCCAAAGACGACCACAATATACCACAATATAATATGACTGCACGACCAATAATAGATGGGAAATCCATGCAATTCCAGGGTATCTTTCTTGAGTTTATGCGTTGTGAAGCACTCATTCAACGATCTTCGTGGTATCTAATTTTGTTTGAAGCGAACATCTGGCTGCGCTGGCTCTGCGCAGTGACGCGTTTGCATGCTTTTGCTATGTCAGAAAGTGTTTTCTAAATTATAAACAATCAACATATTTTTGTTGCATGAGAAGTCCCACTGTCAAAGCCAACCCTCGGTATCTTCCAAGTCCTCGCCTGACGGAGTACCTCTTCCATCTCGTTCTCCAACGGTTCTCCAAAGGAGCTGATGGAGCTCCTGACGCGCTCGGGTTATCGTCCACCCCAGCGCCGAACAACGAAGCGGACAGTCCCGGTGCGACGTGTCGAGTGGAGAAAGGGGGCATCCTTTAGATTAACAAGGCACATAAATTCGTCTTTGGAGCAAAACCCGGTCCTGAAACTGGGGCATGGGATGCAAATGCAAATCAGAAGCAAATGGATGGAGCAAAGGGCCAGCGCTATACGCCCAGCTCTGGTCTCATAGCCCGACGCCAGCAGCAACACAAGGATGGTCAAAAGAGTCCTCACCCCAGCATCATCCCAAACACAAAAGGGGAAGGGGCAAAAGAGACTCAAGTGACTCAAGTAACTGCAGTCTAAAAGACCAACTCAGAGCTCAGAACTCAGGCTTTGAGATGCCAAATGTCCTCCAAACCAACTTGTGCCCAGCCCTACGTGACTCAACCGACCTAGGTCAAAAGGGGCTCTGGGAGCCACAAAAGCCTTCCAAGCCCTGACTGGACAGCTCCAACGGCGAACAAACCGCAGGACGGCACCTGGGATCCCAATGAAATGTCCTCATGTAGCGAGGGAAACTGAGAAAACCTCGGTAAACCTCTAACCTCTCGGTCATCCCCAAACTGCTGCACTGTAGCGGATCAACTGCTCAGAGTGTATGGTTCTCTAATTAAGAGATCAGATCCATCACCTGTGACCCCAAGCGTGCCACGGCCCCCCACCCACCATGGCATCGGTCCCAGTGGCTTCACATGTGGCACCTGGATCGCGGCACGGGTCTTGCGCTGGATCCGGTTGAAGCAGCTGCAGCGAGGTGTCAGGAGGACCTTGAGCAGCGCGAAGAGCCAGGAGATGAGAATGATGCTCCTGAGTCCGTCGAACGAGAACACGGTCTGCTCCTCCCCAAAAAAGAATTCTCTGGGCCCAGGAGAGGTCTGTAGATGTCTGGAGTCTGCAAAGAGCTTTCTATGACAGAATTTGAGAACCCTATACTGCAATACAGGACCGCATGTGAATGTCAAGGCCAGCATGGCAACTGCTCGGCATCGACCTACAAATGATGAAGTAGCCTGACCGATGCCTCAAGCCTCTCCAGAAATTCTTCCCACCATGACCGTTCAACCAACCGGTGGGGGCATCGAAGTTGTTCTTCTTCAGGTGCCATTCAGGTCTCTGTGCCAGGGCTAAACGACATGGAGACCTGACGTGACACCTTGAAAGGTTGAGGCGAACTGCTAGGATATTGAGCACAGCATGTCTGGGTAGAACAGACTTTCCCGATCGTGAGCACAAACCAGAAGCCGCCCGATGGATGCTGTATACTTGAAATCAAAAGATGAAAAGTGTACCACTTATTGACTCAGGCTCATCATGACAAAGCTAAACTCTGCCTGCTGCTCCTTGGTATAGACAGCTTGCACTTTGAAACGTCAAGTCAGATGTTGGATGTTCCAAAGGCTCTTGGCAGCCTCATCTCAAAGCGTGAGGGCCGTATTTTGTTTCCTGCATTTCTGATATTTTCTTGCCATCTTGAGCAGGAATTCTTCAGTTTGGGGGTTCGACTGAAATCACATGAAATCACCAAATCGCCGCATGACTGGAGTCGTGCCTCATCATCAGCCCTTGGAGTCGTCGTCCCAAAATAGGTGAAGAACAAGACCGCGGACCAGGCCACTCCAGGCTTCGGCGGAAGGCCCAAGACGATCAGGATCGAAAAGCAGGGAAAGAAGGTCGCACGTCCCTGAGGTGTGATCCAGAGAATGATGAGGGAGGCCATCAGCAGCTTTGATTCGATTTGGCTTAAGACAAAACCTCAGCCACGAATCAAGCTATCTGAGAATCAACTTCTGGGACAACTGATGAGCGCAATGCGCATCACTACGCACATATACGCACATATTGTCCCTCATGATAGATCTTGCTTTTCCTTCGGCCAGGCAAAGAATAGCAGCTGTCAACATCATTTCAACTGAAGGGGGAGATCCGACCAACATCGTCCAGTGTCTCAAAAAAGAATAAGAGGCTGTCCAAAGTTCCCTGATTCAGCTGCGAAACCACACTTCTGTCTGATGCGACTGGCCAGTGAAGCGTTGAGGCCGATGGCCACGGGAGTGGCAGCCTCCAGGGAAATCCCAGCGTTCCGAAGCTCTTCCATGGCAGAGTTGAAGTATTGCTCATCTGGGTAGCCTTGGAAGGAGGATGCCTCCACAACTACCCGACTATCCCCATACTCTTCCACCGGGAATGGTGGGGTGACCTCTGAAAACTCGGCGGACCCAAAGCTGGGCGTGGACCGCCCAAAGGTTGGAAGAACACGTAAGGCCTGTGGTTTCTTCCGGTGTCCCCCAATAAATAAATCAAAAAGGATGAAAAATTGCAAAAAGGTCTGAGTTGAGTATATATGGCTGTGCCTTAGAATAGGGAGACCCCTCAGTTCGACTTCTGGGAAAATCAAAAACAGACCAAATCCATTGGTTGGGAGGTCCCCCTATTAAAATGCAAACCTATATATTGCAAACCTATATATATATATATATGTCCCATTGCCAGCAACAGTGCACGATGATAGTAATTAGTAGAGGCCTTTCTCAAATATAGTCGATCATCTTTTACTGCCTGTTAGATAAAGGTCACACCTAGGTCCTTTAGCACTCTGAGAAACCATGCCTGGCTGGTCCACCCGTCATCGAGGTCTTCAGATGAATGGCGAAGATGGGATGAAGGCGTTGGGTGGTGAGAGAGGGACTCAGGCTGAAGAGCACTCGCCGCCGGAAGGCGAGCTGAAACATGGCCAGGAGCTTCTTCCCCTCCTCGTTGTCTGGTAAATAGGCATGCTGGGAGCGCCCATCATAGTCCTGGCCACCTTGGGATCCACTGGAAAATGAAAAATGCAAGACAAGCGTGGGACAGCTGTGACCAGCCAATCGAAACTTGCTGGAGCTCCAAGACATCGTCCCATCCGGCATGGAGCCCATGCGATCCCCATAGAAGTGCCCACACGTTGGACATGAGGGCCTCTTTTGGAACCAGCTTTCCAAGCAAGCAACGTGATATTGGTGGCCACGCTGCATGCACTGGTGTCCAAACATATGCAACATGTTCTATCATCATCCATGTTCGCACCATCCTCCAAGGGCTCTAATATATCACTAGCCTTGGGTTGATTCAACTCTGCAGCATCTTGCGGCAAGACCAGTTGACATGGCAGAGCACCCAAACGCGCCATGGCTCCCGTTGCTGGCTTCAAGAAAACGTGTCCGATCAACATGGTGTCGGTATCAATCTCAGGATCTCCACTTCGGATTTGGGAGGAGAGCTTTAACTTTGAGTCTCTGGTAAGGCCGACAAGGGCCATCGATGAGAATCATCTGGGCCGACTGTTGAGGGTGTTCTTCGGGACAGGTTGGTATTTCTGATTTCAGCCACACGGATTCAGCGCATGCTCTAGGCTTGACCTTCTTCTTCCGGAAGAAAGCCCAGTTTGAACGGTATTCAGCTGAATTTGCACCACTGATTGCACTTGGAAGGATCTTTGCCAGTACTGTCCAAGCTTGGCCAACAGCCAGCAAATGCCCATATTAAATTGCTTTGACAAGAACAGTGTGACATGCCAGAGCGAGGCGGAAAACTGGCTCCCCTGATCACCCCCGGTTTCTGTGGATCTGGATGAAATGGACACAAACTCCACCCAGTGCCAGTGACATTCTTCCCATTTGCCACCTCTAAAGCTGTGATGATCCAACCCAACCCATTGGGGGTGGTCATTCCAGTCCGTCTCGTGGAATGGCAAGATCTTCCCAATTCTTTCCACTCTTTGCGGCTGCTTTTGCGCACTACTGCAACATGAGTGACTCTGACTTTAGCCTCTCGAAATCACCGACATGAAAGCTTCAATCACCCATCAGACGCGCACAGCATGGAGGTAACACCATCGAAGCGGAAGCCGTCAAACTGGTATTCCTGAAGCAGCGATTCGCGGAGGAAGAGGTGCTTTCGTCAGGCAGAATTTGAGGCGACGGAGAGGCTGCAGTTGTTTTGGAGGGTTGAAGGGGGGGGTCCTAAGCTTTGCTGCGGGTGCCTGGTGAGCGGGCTGTTGGCTGTGAACTGGCCGTGAACTTCGGCACCCAGTTCGTCCCAAAACTCTGGCAGGTCCGCTCAGGTGGTTCATGACAGCTGTTCCAAACTTTGATACCTTCCCTGTCTGCAAGATAGTAATTACATCTGTCCTTGTGATCGATACACGAAGTGTTTGCTGCCTCATGGCGCCGATGCGCCGATACCACTGCCGGCAAACTGTGAACTGTGTCTTCTCAGGCCCGTCACCACGGCGTGTCTCAGCACGAATCTGCCCTAGTTGGGTTTCTCCTTTGAGAACCTTTCGTCCGACGCCGCTTCACCGTTTCCATCCTCGCTTCCGCGATGGGACAGGACGTTTCCATCTGCTGGTCGGTGATGCACAGTCCGGTCATGTACTTATACCATCCAGAGTGGATGAATCATTTCCCTCACACCTCCTTCGTCGCCCCCGCCGTCCTCCAACCACCACTTGACGTTGGAGAGCAAGAACCGCAGGACCTACTGCATCGAAGGCTTGTCCGCCCGAAGAGGACGAATAGAGGGGTCGATTTGCTACGAATAGATTCATTGATATCAGGACCCACAATGACAAGGGGTGGTGAATGGACACCATTTCACCTCTAAGGCCCTGGTATATTACATATATATAATATATTCATTGGTTTTTCAAAGTTCTTCACGACCGGAGGTATCCCCTCTATCAATCAACCAAGGCCGTGTGATCCGATCATGACGGATCATGACGGGGTGCCGGGCTGCGGTACGCGGGGGTGCCGGGCTGCGGTACAGGTAGAGACCAAATACACTGCAGTCTATTCCTGGTGAGATGAGGAGTATTTCAGAGGGACATGTCGTGTGGAAAGGCCTCATTGAGATTGAGGAAAACATGTGTGTAATAATTGTTATTGAGAGTATTCTTTCATTGTCAGCCATCTTAATCTGTGGACCTCCTGGGTTGCTAGGATGATTATGTACGTATTATGTTGCTTTGTTGCAAGAATCTAAAGTAAAAGAAAAATGGAACGCAATCCACCAGCTTTCCCTAGTCAGGCCCACCTCCCAGTGGCGGCAAACATTTGGGGTCCTGCTTCTTCCCACCTCGTACTTGAGGTAGTTGAAGATTTTGGAGTCCCAGTCTGAATGATGGCCCTGTCCAAGGTCAAGGTGGATGCGGTGGATGACGGGCCACTGGCACTGCAAACCCACTCCGAAAATGGCATTTGCACTGGACAGGCGCTTCGCACCCAAAAATACGACAGCCAAACCATACCAAGGAATGCGTCAGAAACCCAAACAGGCAAAACATGTGGAGCTTTTCTGCCTGGATAACAATCTGAACTCCGCAAAAAGGTTCGCAATGTGTCACGCATGCCTCCAACCATCTCCAACCCTTACGATCCCCATGTGCGTCTCATTTCTGGTTTGGATCCTCCAAGCAAAGAAAAACACCAACCAGGAGACCTGCGGGCACAGGGACCGCTCTGTCGAATTGCAAGAAGATCAACTTCAAAAAATGCAAATGATGGTCTTGGAGCCTGGGGAGTACATATTATATATATATACGTAAGAATACCAAAGCCATATATAAAGGTTTCGCAATGCCAGTACCAGGTGGTTATGTGAGCTTTGTTCCTTCATCCTTCTTCCACAATCCAAAAGAACAAAACAAAACCATACGCCCCGCAGCTGCAGCCGCCTTCAAACCTCCATGGGTATAGCAATGATCCGTTCCGTCCATCCTTGGACCGGCCAACCAATGGCGCCTCTCCGTAGTTGGTCGTTGGTCGGTGAGGTGCCACTTTTTCCACAGAGAGGAGGTTCTTGGGGGGGTGATGGTGAGCGGGGTGTTTCACCATGTTTCACCATGTTTCACCATATTTCACCAAGTCCTTCTTGTTGCAGAAGGTCGTTGTTAAAGAGGGACGAGCTGCCCCACTGGGCAGGATCTGGACGGCAGGTAACATGGTCTATCGGAAATAAGTGGGATGGGCACATCAGCCCAGGTCTTGTTCACCCTGCATCATCGAAATACATTCTCCATTCCGGTCAAACTACCGTTGAGAATGAAACACTTGCAATTCTCCTCAAGAAACTGCAATTGGTGAGCTGTTCCCCATCAAAGGCGGTGTCCTGCTGTCTTCCTACATCTCCACGTCCTTCTTCTCCGAGATGCTGTGCAATGCCATCCAAGGTATTGGATGATGCATGCGCGTGGACCAGGTCCATGAGCACCTGGTGTTAGGGTTTAGGCGAACTTCGCGGTGTTAGCATTGAGTATAGATTAGACTCGGCCCACATAGCATTATATAACATGAGAATCGATGTTGCTTACAACTCTCTGGGAGTAGGACATGTCCTGAATCTGGCATATGTTGAGATACTATTATACTACAATATATATATATATATATTGTGTTTGTTATATAATGTTTGTGTGTGTGCTGGCGGTGGGAGCTGTTGTTCAGCTAATATTATATCAATGTAACTCATTGTAGCCCGGTAGTTGCTACGACTTTTGGGGGGGGAGCACTCCATTCCGCCCCCCCAGCAATTGCTTGAATGGGCGCTATGCGGTTTCACGGCGGTCGACCGGTCGTCCGTCGCGCTGCCTGGATACCCAATCCGTGCGCTGTGTCGATCAAGTACTTCAGCTCCTCGGGCTTCGGCGGACGGTCCCGAGCGTTTTCGGACGGGTCGGGGTGCCGGTGGAAACCGGTGCGGCGCTGTGCTCGCTAGCGCATGCTAGAGTGTTGACTGGTGGTTGATAGGATAATATGTATAAGGGATTTTTAGTTCTTTTCCTCACGTGCTGGACTCCCAACAGGGTCAAATGTTCCGACAAATTATGCAGTATCCACTGGGTTCTTAACCAAGTCAAATTGATTGCGCTTCTGATTGACATACACATCATACACATCATACATCATCACAAATACACGTGGCCCATCATCATCATCATCATCATCATCATCATCATCATCATCATCATCATCATCATCATCATCATCATCATCATCATCATCATCATCATCATCATC